ACTGTAGATCCACCAGTCCTCCTTGACAAGCAATGGCTGACTTAACTCGATTGGCAAACTGGACTGCATCCTCACCCTCCTGTCATTGTAATACAGTGGGGGTTTAGTTTAGCATGAGTTTAGTTTATCTGTGTGTACATATATGTTGACAGAGGCACAAACCTGCTGGTGCATGGCTGGCAAGTACCACACATTGCAGACCAGAGCCCAACTGGTCATCATTCTGAGCAGGTAACTGACCATGCTGTACTTGGAACTGTTCCAAAAAGCATCTCCAAACTTTGGATCGTACTGAGGAAAAAAATACATTTAAAATAGATGAGACATTAGGTTTATACCTTTATTCTGTATATATTGGAATGTATTATATTGGAATTGTTTTATTTAGATCTAATGCATTTTATTTTATTTTTGATACATTAAAGGCACACTCTAACTTTTCTCATGGAGGGTTGGCCACCTGCTTGTCCATTACATGTTACTGCATTGGATTTTTTCACAATTGGCAATAGGTTAATATAGCATTTATACAATTGCATTTGCTCTGACCAGTTACATGACCTGGTTTTGTCACCTGCTTATTTCCATGGAGACAGATCTTTTAATGTCACGTTGCCATGCAATAACATCTCCATGCAGACAAGGAACTGGCTGACCTTCCACCATAAATGTTAGTGATTTTTGTTCACTGATAAGGGCTTATAAATCATATTCTGATTCCAACTTTGGCAAAGTCAATACCTTAATGGCCACTGGATAAATAGTAGCTCCAATTTCAAAGCTTCCTTTTTTAAACATCATAACAGATGTGTTGTTGACACAGGTTCCTGTAAAGTTCAATAAATATGATGACTAGACCTTAACACTGATCATGTAGAAAGTACAGCCAAATATGAAAATCTTACCTTCAGGAAAAATCAATATGGGAAGTTTGGTCTTGTCACTCACATGATTCTGTAACCTGGACGGCAAACAAATGAAGAAAGTTTAGAGACAGAATACAAGAAGTCCAGTGTAGAATTTACAGTACTTTAATTTAATTCCTCATTTATCCAGCAGTGATCTATGATAACCAATATCTACCTAACTTTACAGTTATCATGAATTAAAGTTATAAATAGATAAGCACATTGTAAAAAAAATATTCTCTTCTCTGCACTACACACTTAAAGGAACCAACTATAAGATATAAATCACTTAAAATTTTTTAAACAGAAATTTATATTGTATTAATATATATATATATATATATATATATATATATATATATATATATTTATTATATAGTGTTACTACTAGACTGAGGACCACTATGCTTGTTTCACACTGACCTTTTAGTCACTAGATGGCGATCTTTCATTTCTGCTCTCTCAAACCACACATGAGGACATGACCTCACCATGGCTCGCTGGACTATTCCCATGAGCCCTCCATGAACTTGACCAACCTTAAAATCAATTTACATTGAAGTACAACAGATTTAAAGGGCTCATATTGCTCTATTTTCCGATCTATGTTAGAGCATTTTGAGCTTTGGAGACGTAGACAGACTAATAATGAGTGTTGAATAATGAGAATGTGTGAATGAAACAAAACACTCCATGTTTCTGGGGAAATAACATCTTAACATGGCTTTAAGCTCAGAATAATCAATTTTGTGTAATATAAGACCTTTAAGTCTAAAAACTAAGATCCACTTACCATAGCATAACACCCATCATTGCACAAAATCACTATGTCAATTGGAGTGGTGTGATTAGCAACACATATTCCACCTTTCTTTGGTTTATTTTCTCTGTAGAAGCATTTCAAAATGTCAAAACCAATGTCCTAAATTTACAAAAAATTTGTGATAGCCATGAACTGAAAGAAAATACCTGTTGTGATAGCGAATAGTGGCTGAAAGTCCTCGTGCACATATTCTGTAGCACATAACATGAACCCATTCACTGAGCCAGGACTTGATGCTGAAAAACAAAATTTTAAAAAAAATCTGTAATGTTTTATTCATTTTCAGAAAAGCAAGGTCAATCTCTGGATAATAATTCTTATGTACGTTCTACCTGCTGTTTGGGAGAAATCCAACTGCAGAGGTCCCAATTACTAACCAGGTAAGGCCAATGCATGCCAATGTAATCCTGAGGAAAGGGTTAATTTATTACTATAACACATCGACAAGAATCTGTACAGTATATTGGTACCTTAATGGAGCAAGGATGCAATATCTAACAAAGATGCCCAGGCCATACACCAGTGTTAGTTTCAGGCTTATATACTGGAAATCATTATTAGTACGAGTCAGAAGGTTCCAGGACATTAGCTCCTCTGAAGAAAAACGCTGTGTCACCTGAAAATGAAAAGATAAAATATTTAAAGGTCCACTGTATAACTTTTCTGGTGGACGGTCTGCCACCTGCTTTTGAAGGGGTTATTTCTTTGGCTGGAATGTTCCATAGAATGACATTAAATGTATCTACATTTATCCAATGATAGGTGTTTTAATTGAGTGAGTGGGGTTCACCTCTCAACAGATCTTGGCCTCCCCTGCTTGACTCCATGGAGATGGACAAGTTCAATGCCATACTGTGGAAGATTATGAGAAAAACAATAATATCCATGGAGACAAGCAGGTGGCAGACATCCCACCCGAAAAGTGGCATAATGCACCTTTAAAGAGGAAAAAAAATATATGTACAGTGATTTGATGTTTTGTTTACATGTACCTCATCATCAACAATGCTTTCGATTCCTTTACGTGAGAAGTAAAAACAGTCGCTTAGTGTAAAATCACCACCAACTGGAGGTTTTGGTCGACTTCGCCTTAGCTCCTCCAATTCTTTCTCCATAGAGCCATCTTCTCTTTGAATTAAACCTATAAATCAAAGATAATTAGACAAATGCAATCGCCTGATGTAACCGTTATCTGAATGACCATCTCAAAGATAAGGGACAATATTTCTCTTGGAAAGTAAAAAGTTATAGTAAATCATGCCAAATCAAAGTTGATCTAGAAATGCTGTTTTTAGATGTATTGAATGTAACGTTAGTTATACGTAAAGTTAGGTTAAAAATTCACAATAGATCGTTACATTTCAAATAAAGGTAAGAGTTATGCAATGCCCTGCCTGTTCTTTCAGAAGGCGTAAAAGTCAAGCCAAGATTGCTATGACATTACCTGATAACACAAGGGACAATGTCCAACTAGTTTACGGACAATTATGCAGTGTTTTATTCAAATCATATGAAAATTGCTCTCTGCTGTCACAAAACAACAGTAAACATCAGGAGTTGTCATTGTATATTTTCATTGTGGCAATGTAGTTGAGTAATGTTTTGTTTCTAACAGTTGCTTGTTGTGAAATGCACCATGAGTAAGTGCTAAATGTACAATACAAAGCTTAATTTTGTCTCCCCCCCAAGACAAAGTAAACCCTGGGGAATATTAAGCAAAGAAGGGTCAGGTTACATGGCCAAGCTATTATTTTTAGCCGTTTGCATGTGCACATTCTGTAGTCAGGCAAACCAATACATTTTAATAAACTTTTATCTTGCCAACACTTCTAATAAAGACAGTCGTGGAATGCGGTTCTCCATTTACAACTACAGCTGCAAATATGCGTTTTCATAAATCACATTGTTTTGTACTTTACTCACCATTAGAAGCACTGGTTTTAAGAGTCTGTTCATCTGCTTTTGCCTTTTGTAGTTTTAGCGTAGCCCACTGCAAAAAAAAAATAATTTTGCAAATGTGTTTTGTTTTTATATGACGCTACATAGAGAATTATGAAAGTACCTCTAATGTTTTGACCAGTAAAGTCATGTATGTTTCAGATATTCCCAGTGAAAACCCAAACATAGCTGGGACCATGATGAAGCTGACGATGAGGAACAGCCATATCTTCATCCCCCACAACACTGCAGCCCACAGATCCTCCATCTCCACCCGGCTCTGAGCTGTACCTGGGCAGCCTCTTGTCCGACCTAGAAACGTCCTGCAGAAATATAAATACTTTTATACAAAATACAAGAAAGACAAGTTTAGACAAGTGACACCACCGCGGCTCCGCGTAAACAGATAGGGCGCAGGATCATATGTGCAGTCGTAACAACTGTACACCTGTACACCCACAATGACAAAGCGTGGCGCTTGAACTGATCATTGCATGTATTAACTTAACTGTCTATTTTAAACATTTGATATTACTTATTTCTCTTACCTTTTTCACCTCTGCCCATACTCACTCAGGAAACCCCAGTGTGACTCCTAAGGCGCTCAAAACACGCCCAGTTGTTTCAGAGCAAAGTTCATGAAGAAAGACAAACAGCGCCCCCTCGAGATTTGAGAGGGAGGTGCGGCATGGAAACGCATCCAGTCCAGCCCACTGTGACCGACCAATCTGTTGACCTAACTTTTCAAAAGTACGTGATGTGGCATCAAGAAACACATAAATAATACATTTTAAAGGTCATCAATCATACAGCACTAAATGAGATACAATTCCTAAGTATGTTTTATTTTGTTTTTTGATGGGATCTTGTGACACAAAAGACTAAACCTGCGGTATATGGGATTGTATTTAACCCAGATTTTGCTGTTACATAACATACAAAAGGTTCATAAATGGATTTTACATTGGTTGGATAAATTGCAGTGCATGTTACAGCAGGTCCAGTCACGCTCCAGGTACCATAATAATTAATGGGCTGTAGTCGTGGCAACTTTCTCTTTCAGACCAATTAGCGCTTCTTCGGCAGCAGCGCAGTATCACACTTACCCTCATTCTTTCTTAAAAATGAACTAGACTTGACTGGCCAGAGCTCACTCCGCCTCTCACTCGCAGCCGGAGACCGCGTCTCTGCACGGTCAGTCTCGCACGCTTGCTCTGGGCATGTTTCCCTTCGTATGGGGAGAGGGCTGACAGTCTTCATGTCATGACAGTGCTGCAGAGGATCGGAGTGGTTGCCCTAAACGCCACTGGACCTCCAATGCTAAGGACACTTTCCCGCTGTTTTGAATTTGGTTGCACCAAATATGCGATGTCCGCAGGAGTGCGCGCTTCTTCTGCTGCTCAACTTTGTTTTCATTTTGGCAGCTGGCCACGTAGAGCACTTTGACTCCAGCATATTTCAAACTCTCTTTGCAGAACAAGGTCAGTGGATGCACCATTTTCCATTTCAGTTTATTTCAGGCCTAGTTTAGCAGATCTTCACACGACTGACATTAGATTTAGAAAAAAAAATGTGTAGGGCTCGAAGGAGACGTGATATTAATGGTGAATGCTGAGATGATGCTAAGTAACAATTCATAATAGGCTACATTTTTATGTTTTAAAACTGAAGTTTGTTTTTACACCATTAAAATGCAGCAAATGCTTTTTAATTGTACAGGTCAGAGTGGTTCAACCATTGTTCACCCATTCAAAATCAGTGCAGATGGAGCATTCCTCTCCCACTCCCTCTCTCATCACTTCAGCAGCCAACGAGTTGGGCGTGACCTTCGAACCCACCTTGTAGGGGACCAAGTCTACTACAAGGTTGACTACAAGGGTGACACCTTAGTGTTTAACCTGAGTGCAAACACTAAGTTAGTGTCACATGACTACACTGTGGAGAGGAGGAACGGAGTGACCAACAGGACAGAGCATCGTTCAAACAAACTCAACAACTGTCACCATGTGGGCACTGTGACCACCTCCAAGACCATGGGAACATCTGCCATCAGCACCTGTGATGGTCTGGTGAGACACCTTTATTCATTTACTTCACTAATCGCCCCTTATACAGTCAGGCTTAGTTCAAACAAGAACAAAAGGCTTAAGACAGGGGAAGCTGATGTGGAGCTGTCATAGACCCCCCCCCCCTTTCTCTCTCTCTCTCTCTCTCCCCCCCTCCCTTCCTCCCTCCCTCTCTCCCTCTCTTACTGTATCTGACAGTGGTCTGTCTGTTAGTTTGCCTTTCAAAGACTTCCTGAAACTGTTTGCAGAGTGGTCCCTACATACCTTCTGACGAAGCTGTTTCTTGGCCAATGTGAGCCTTAGTCTTTCTTTTGAGATTTACGTACATTCCCTCTGGAACAACATTACAGCTCAAACATGTTATTATGGTCAATGTCTAAGAAAATCATAAAACAAACAAGAAGAACTTCTGTTGGGTTTGAATGGTTTCCCCTGTTTCCACTATCTGATCTGTGTATTTTATAAAACACCATTATTTTTTGCTTAGTGAATATCCATCCATTACATGTCTTTTATGGTAATTTACGGTGAATGCAAAGAGAAGATCTTGGACCATTTTGACTTACAATTATTTTATTTTTGTATTATATATCTTCAATCTGGTATAAAGAATAAATTACCTTGTCATAGATTAGCAGAACATTCAATCTATACATGCGTTTCAAATAGACAAAAACTTGTTTCAGTTTAGTTCAGTGAGGTTGTATAAGGTCAGAGCATGTCTAATCATCTAAAAATAACAAATCAGATAAGAGAAAGGGAATGGGAAAGTGCTAAAGCAATTACAACACTTACGTATATGGAGGTAACAAATACAAAATTAATTATTGTACATTTTAGATTTGATACAGATAGATTGGATACTATAGGGAATTTGCTTCTTGTCAAATACATACTAAAACCTAACCACCAGTTGTAGCAGTAAAACATTTCAGGAAAAACCTTGGTAATCCCTCGGGCACCAAACAAGAAGGAGCAAGTCTGGACCTATTATATTGGTATTTTCCTCACTTAAATGCATGTTTCTTCTCACTATATAGATGAAAAATGATAATGTCTTCCACCTCTGTAGAGACAGACCTTTAGGGTAACCTTTTCATGTGAAGCTAAATCAGATAGGGGACGTAATGGAGCCTATAATGATACAAAAGCAGTTGTTTAGGCTGCAAGCTTATTTGAATAGTTTTGCTTAATCATCAAGTCATGAACAGTCCTCCCTAGTTGAGTTTCCCACTAGTCTTTGCTAAGGCCACAGGCAGGAGCTTCCAGACCCAATTGGCTTGCACTACCAAACCCACAGAAGCAGGAAGTATGAGTAAAACAGTTCCACATGGCCGTTGTATTGAGAGCATAGGCTTGTGTTATGGTAACCTCCCCGGGCTCTGGCACCTCACACCCAAACACTTCCTCTGGGTTACACAAATGCTTCATGGAAAAGAAGGGGGAGAGGGAGGGGATGGGGCCAGGTGCAATTCATATTAAGAGAACTAGAGATCTCCATTAGCAAGACGAAGTATGCATATTACAATATGAGTGTCAAAGTATTGTCTGGGATCCAAAATATACACTTCTTCTGCATAAAAATGCATAAATCATCAAACCTGTCTGCATAAATTAGCATAATAATTAATGTATGTATTTGATTAAACAATTAATCTTTTTAATAGCATGTATGACCTAGGTTACAACTGTTAATTATTCTTTCAAAAGCAGATTGAACTGTACCTTGAACTGCAACCCATTAAATAAACAAGAAAAAATAAATTAGATCTATATACTGATGAACTACTACAATATTTTTAGCATCAAATTACCCAGTGAGCATTTGTGTTTAACATTGCAGAGATTTTGTATATTGCAATTAAAGGATTACCACTAACACTATAACCACAATGTTTGAGCAAAGTCCTACCAAAACCTAGGAGCTGGTGTGCTGCAATATGTTCAGTATGTCTAAAAGGGCCTCTTTTGTAAGATTCCTCCTTGCTTCATCTGCTCTTCACCACCTGCTTTTCTCTGCTGAGAATATCACTGCATGCAGAAAAAGTCAGATAACGTGGCTCCCAGATAGTAAAATATATAAATAAAACAGTAGTTATTGTTTTGCAGGACTGGTCATGTTAAAGTAAACAGACAAAAAGCAGTACATATTTTTAAGAGTGTAATTCTGTTCTGAATCCCAGCTTTTGCAGCGATGTGCACATATCAGCCTGCATGCCTTAAGGATGAGTCTGCGCCTGGGACCAAGGCCATTTCTGTCAGTTTTTCATCTCTATTCTCAGTCTTTTGACTATTGTAAAGTTTCTCTATTACTAATTCTATTCAAGAGAAGTTTATTTCTGTGATCCAGTCAGTTTAACATATAACACTTAACGCTTATAGGCCTAGATAAATTATGTAGGGATCAGCGTGGAAAGTAAGGGAACCATTTTCTTCTTAACTCTTGGGATGATGCAATTTGAGCTATTATTTCACAGTGATCCAGATGCATGCATAATTGTGGATAAAGATTTGAGTCTTCTAGGACATAGACTAAAGCTGTTCAAATGACCTAGAAAGCTGAGCATGACTTCAATAAACAGCAGGAGCTGTTAGCACTGCATGGTTCCATTCTTTAACATCTGCCTTTAGACTATTGCTCAATCTTTATGTTTTCTCTTGTATGTTTACACTAGCTGCACATAAATACTACACTTTTAAACACCTTTAAATCATTGTGATGCAATATACTTTGTACTAACACAGCATGCTTTCTGTTTAGCCCTGGAAGAATAATGTCTGGCCCATTCATTCTGTAGAATAGTTTTAGTGTAGGAGGGAGGGGTGGTCCTGGAGCAGTCTTGGCATGTTTGGACTCAGTTTGACTCAAACCCACCTACACACAGGGGCTAATAAAGGGACCCGTGGCACACACGTTGTTTGTAGAGAAAAGTCAAAAGTCGTTTTTGCAGGATTGTCTTGTGTAGGTGTAGCTGTATCTTTGTAAACACTGGCCAGAATGTAGGCCACTGTCTATGTGTGTGTTCAGCAGCAGACCTCAGTGATCAGTGAATAGCCTGCACCAGTGAGAACATGCAGGAATACTTGCGCAGTTTGTCTTTCTGCAGCCGACAGAGAATGTGCCCCAGGGAAAAGTGGGTGCAATGTTCCACATTTACATTTTGATCAGTTAGAGAAATGATCAAGTTATTCATATGACCTTTACAAAAATAATAAAATCAAAATGGCATGGCAAGACAAGTTGGTGAATTATGGATTCATGGCCATACAACAGACAACATACAACATGCCCAGCTGCAAGTCTAAATAAGTTTCAACAGTAGCAAACTACTGGATTATATTACATGAATTTCAGTTTTTATTATCATCACAAACTGCATATAGAGGAAAGTTAGTTAGCAGTTCCTCCCTCATTCTCTCTAATAGCTCTTTGGGACTTATTATTATTTATTATAATTCCATTGGCCAATGGCCACAGACATGACCACAGATGTTATTAGTCTACAGAAGAATAAAATGACAATTACACATTTGTATTTTCAGAGAGGCTTCTTTTCCCTTCCAGAGGGCTACTACTTCATTGAGCCTGTACAGGAACCCTTTGGCCATTCTACTGGAGGTCCAGAGCCTCACGTGATCTACCCAAAAACTACTGCCACCTCCAACAGAAAAAAACGAAGTGATGCTGGAGATTCACACAGCCCCTGTGGGGTTCAAGGTTGGTTCTGATACAGGTTACAGTGTTGTGAATGCTTTAAGCGTTATTTTGAAAAGCCAATATGCAAATATGTTTTAGACAGTCCCGAGGATTGTGCACAAGTGGAGAGGGAGAGGGAGGAATGGGACCGAGAGCAGCAGAAACAGCCAGTACAGTCTCGGCAGCAGCGCTCCGTCAGCAGAGAGCGCTGGGTGGAGACTATGGTGGTGGCTGACTCCAAACTTATTGAGTATCATGGAAGTGATAATGTCGAGTCATACATATTCACTATCATGAATATGGTAAGCATTTATGTGATGCTGTCTTTAGCCACAAAAATATTTCAGTAATTAAACGTGCAATGTTGACAGGTGGCTGGCATTTTTCATGATGCCAGTATTGGCAATGCTATCCATGTCATCTTGGTTCGACTTATTCTTCTTCAAGGAGAAGAGGTAAATGTGGTACAAATGTGGTTGACCAGTTTGAACCTTTTCCATTGCTTTTATTTATTTTCTAATTTACACAAAAGTAATTATGTCTAAAATTAAAAGGGTTGGTTATTAATATATGGCAAGAAGTGTTCTGTTTTACATTACTTTTATTATATATTGTTCACATTTCCACCAGAAAGGGTTGAAGATTGTTCACAATGCAGACACCACTTTGGCCAGTTTCTGTGCCTGGCAGAAAAATATAAATCCACAAAGTGATACACACCCAGCTCATCATGACCTCGCTGTGTTGGTTACTCGGTAAGTGACAAGATTCACAGATTAAGATATAGTGATTTTTTTTTTTTAAATAGTGGATATTTATGTATTTTTTAGAAAAGACATCTGTGCTGGAATGAATCAGCCCTGTGAGACTCTGGGCCTGTCTCATCTGTCCGGAATGTGTCAACCTCATCGAAGCTGCAACATCAATGAGGATTCAGGGCTGCCTGTCGCCTTCACCATTGCTCATGAGATGGGCCATAGGCATGTGGACTTTTCAGGAAATTGTACATTAAAGTGCCAAAATAACATCATTTTCTGAGCTATATTGTTGTTTTCTCATCAAAAACGTAAATGGAGTTGTATTTTGTTTTATTTACGCATGTTTAACACAAATCCTACATATTTATTTTCTCTCAGAAAGAAACTACTCTGTTCCACCGTATGATATCATGCAGTCATACAAGAAGTGTGACACTGTGTTTTAAACTCCATACACCTTCACTAGAATTGTCTGGATTATTTTCAGACCTGGAATTGCCAATATCTACTGAACTAAAGGTAAACAGTAGCTGTTATCTTGAAAATTACTGCTAAGTGACATCACAAAATGGACCAGAGCATTTTGAGCTTTGGAGATGGAGACAGACTAATAATAAAGGACTTCTAAACCTTGTATGTATGAATGAAACAAAACACAACTCCAGATATGTTTTTAAGGAGGTAATAACATTATAACTTGGCTTAAAGCTCACAAGAGTCAATTTCACATAATATAGGACCTTTAATATATAGTTGCGGCTGATGTAATGTGACCTAAGCTTGTTTGTGTTTGAATGCAGTTTTGGGATCCATCACGATGGCCAAGGGAATGACTGTGAGGTGGATGGGAGGCACCCGTTCATCATGTCCAGACAGTTAATGTACGACAGTTCGCCCCTCACTTGGTCGTCCTGCTCCAAAGAGTACATCACCCGCTTTCTGGAGTAAGTATTTTATGTAACTGCAGTCAGCCTATGATCGCTCAATTTGTATTAGTAAATGTAATGACTCACTAAAGAGACCATGCCAGTTGTCTGTGTGCAAAGAATGCCTGGCAGAGAAACTAGTCCACACCATATTCCAACCACATGTTCCTCTTTTGGCTGTAACTATGGCTACACTGGTTCCAAGATGTACTAAATCTACTTTATTATGAGTCAGAAAGCAGGTGTGGCTATTAATACAACAAGAAAGTAAAATTGCATGTTAAAAAGTCCTTATGTCACTTTTTTTTGTAGTCGAGGTTGGGGATTCTGTCTGGATGACCGTCCATCAAAGAAAGAGCTAACCACTCCACTGGCAAACTTGGGTGTGCGGTACACCACACAGCATCAGTGTCAGCTTCAGTATGGGCCCAATGCTACCTTCTGCTCTGAAGTGGATGTTAGTCGTACATGTAAGCTTTTTTGAACAGTTTTAAACATTGATTTTAAAGTTATTTTTGCATTCTTCTTTTAGAATGTCTGTCAGATCCTTTGGTGCTCTGTGAATGGCTCCTGTCGCTCCAAACTTGATTCACCCATAGATGGAACACGTTGTGGGCCAGGAAAGGTAACCCACTATTTAAGAACAAATATTTATATTATATATCAAAGGGGTGCAAACCTACTGATTTAAGGATTTACCACTCATCATTTACTCACTCAGTTTGTTTGAGTAATCTTGTATTGTCCTGCATTAAAGGATTGAGTACTCAGAAAATGTATGCTTTCACCTAACCCCTTATCAGCAGCAGAAGAGAGGAGGACCACTCTGTAATTACTTGCAATTGTTAGAGTCCTAGTCAAAATCGTAGTGCTGTAGTAATTTTCCAGTAATAAAAAGTAAATGAAAATATGCAGTTTTATAGTTTTGAACTGGAATTATAATCAACATCACTGTTTATTATTAAAAAAGGAAAATAACATGATAACCAATGTATGAACTGTTTTCAGATATTTAGTTTAAACCCTGCATAAATTACCTTTACTGTGTTTTCCCCTGTGCTATTCAGTGGTGTATCTCTGGAGAGTGTGTGATCGTGGGGAAGCTGCCTGAGACGGTGAATGGAGCCTGGGGCCCATGGAGCTCCTGGTCCTTCTGCTCCAGGACCTGTGGCACCGGGGTCCAGTCTGCAGACAGAGAGTGCAACAGCCCCAAGTGAGACACCACTCACGTCAGATGCGTCCTATATTACACAAAATGGACACGTGAGATTTTAGCCATGTTGTAACATTATCACCTCATCAAAAACATCTCTGGAGTTGTGCTTCATTCACACATGTTTGAGCAATCCTTTATTAGTCAGTTTCAAATGTATTTAGCTTTTTAAAGAAATATTGTTTTAATTGTTACCAAAAATAGTTTGTATCTGTTGTTTTTAAATGTTTTATATTATTTGTGCAGGCCTGAATTTGGGGGTAAATACTGCACAGGGGAGAGAAGGCGCTATCGAACCTGCAACACAAAACCCTGCCTGAATGAACAACCATCATTTAGAGAAATGCAGTGCAGTGAGTTCAACACGGTTCCCTACCACAATGAGCTTTATCAATGGATACCAGTCACCAACCATGGTAACTACATAATATTACTTAACAAATATGTGAAGTGATGTGATTACACTAAGAGATCCAAAAGGGGGCAGCATTTCTCCTGGAAATGGAAGGCATCTCCATATACAACAATTACACCTCTCTGGCCTGTAATTGCCGTTTTTGCTGGGGTCAACACACATTTCTATGTTTTGTGTTTTACTCCTTGTAATTTATGGTTTGTATGTAATTACTTTACCTGAATCTGACAATCTTTGAGAAAACACAGCTGGCAGATTCCTTCTGTGCAGGACCACACACATAAACTGACTAAAATTGCTCTCTCAAAACATACTGTTGCAATTACTTCTAAATATTTTACTTTTTATCAAAAAATATGGCTATATAAAATGCAAAGTAGGCTAGATTTTATGTGAGTTTATATACCATATGAAATATTGACTGTACTCATTATTTGTCTCTTTACAGTAAGTTGTTTCCAAAAATCACATTATCTATAATTATTTCTATTATCTGTTTTCTTGACTATCCTTAGTAAATCCTTGTGAGCTGCACTGTCGACCTGTGAACGAGTACTTTTCAGAGAAGATGCTGGACACTGTGACTGATGGGACGCCCTGCTTCATGAACAACAAGTCTCGAAACATCTGTGTGAATGGAGTGTGCAAGGTAGTGTGGCTGGGTAAGAGAATAAAAGGCTGGGGTAACCATGTGATTCTTGCACTGTAAAAACGTGAGTGATATTTGATATACAATTTAGAAAGGCCAGTTTTTTTTCTGAAATCAACTACCAATCAGCTACAGCCACTGTCTGTGTGTATGTTATCTACAGTGGCTCGCTCTTTTCTGCGTCACTCTAAGAAAAGCTAAAACTAAAACACAACTTGGTAGTTTTTTTTTACTTCTTTACCAAATAATTCCATATATCTTCTAAAATGCAGAAAGAAAATAAAAACAAAACTGAACAAAGTTGAATGCAGTTTATGTTTACTTTTAATGCCTTTTTAATGCAACTTCTTTAGCTGTCTTCTTGTGTGGTAATCTTTTAGAAATCAACCTACTTTCTTATTCTTAACATTTGGTATAACAGGCTTAACCAGTGCAGTATCCCTAAGTAGATCCTTTAGTTTACCTTAGTACCTTGTGTGTCCAGGAGGTGGGCTGTGACTTTGGCATTGATTCGAATGCTGTGGAGGATCGCTGTGGAGTGTGTTTAGGAGATGGCTCCAGCTGTGAGACAGTCTACAATCGCTTTGATGAAGGAGAAGGCTTTGGTGAGTTAAAAGGTGTAACTTTTCTGGCGGAGGGTCCGTCAAATGATTTTCTCTGTGGAGATGTTATTGCTTTGTCTGGAATGTTTCACAGTGTGGAATTAAACCTATCTTCTATCTTCTTGCAGACCAAACCAGACTAAGTTACAGGTTAGATCTGTGGAGAGGCAACCCCACCCACAGTCAGAATACCTACTTTTTATGGTATTTTGAGCTATACCACCTGTAATTGAATAAATGTAAGGTAGAGCTGTTTAATGTCATACTGTGGAACATTCCAGGCAAACCAATGACATATCCATAGAAACAAGCAGGTGATGGACCCCCTACCAAAAAGCTACATATTGCACCTTTAAAGACATTTGAAAAGCATTGCCTGCAGTATATGGTGAAATGTCATGATGTTACTGTCATGTGCTTTAGTGAATTATGATGTCTGTCAGATTGATGGAGCACATCTCGAGGCACAAAGTCATTTCAGGACAGGATCTCCACTTCACGCCCTTCTTTGTATTTTACTGTTGTCAAGGCAACATGACTGTACAGCTGTTATACAACTTGGTGGTAACAGTTTGTGTGTGTGTGTTTTTTTTGTTTATTTTGTTTTTGTTTTTTCAGCTAATGTTGCAACTACAAAACTTTTAAATTATTCTGGTGCTTTCCCATGCTCAGCTTTTGAAATAATCAACAGATGCATGTCAAAGAAAATCTCAGTATTTTTAGCAAGCCACTGATCAAAACAGTATTTTGGAAACATGTTTATTTAGGTTGATTAAAGTTTGCATTTATTGACTTTGAAGATTTGAAAGATAAATTTGAGTATATATTTGTTTATTGAAAATCTGGCAATGGTCATCATACATTATTCACTGACCCTGATTAGCATAGTGATCTTATATCCTTATATCAGATGCCCTTTCTGACACAATAATCTCCATTTATCCGAGGTTGGGGCCAGTACAAAACTCACAGTAGCTTGTGCCCCCTTGTGGTTAGATGTAGACATTGTGCTTTAAAAGAAACAGGTGCAAACAACATGAATGTGCAACTAAAGAAAGCCACATGTTTATTTGGACCCCAGAAATCAAAGTTGACATTTTAGTACATTCAGCCATTCCATTGTACACAAAACCATAAAATTTCCGTTTTTTAATAGTTTGACCCAGATGAATAAGACTTCAAAAGGGTCTGACCTAGAAGTTTGTAACGCACACAGCTCCTCTAAAAAAATCATTAAACTTCAGAAACACATTTGTAGCTGTTTGCACCCCCCTCCCATTCGTTTACAGTAAAAAAGAGAAACAGACCACTGCCCCCCCACACAGAGCACAACACATGCCAGCCGCCCACTGCCTGAGCCCACTCTATTAAAGATCAGAGAGCATGTGGTTGCCTGGCAGCAGCCCCGGTGGCCCGTGAGTGACTAGTTCTGTCTGCGCAGGATACATAGACGTGGGCGTGATACCTGAGGGGGCACGGGACATCCTGGTGACCGAAGTGGAGGAGGCAGGTAACTTCTTGGCATTGAAGAGCCATGACTCAGAGAAGTACTTCCTCAATGGAAACTACATCATCCAGTGGAACGGAGAGTACGAGGCAGGCGGGACCACGTTCTACTATGAGCGAATGGCGAACATGGAGAACCTCACAGCACCAGGTCCCACGAATGAGCCAGTCATCTTACAGGTACTTAGAGGTGTAAAGGAGATTAGTCTATTTCACATGTTGTAAACTTTGGTTAAATGGACAAAAGTTGTGTTAAAAGTACACTGTGAAACTTTTTGGACGGAGGATCAGGCACCTACTTGTCTTCCTGGAGATATTATGTCTTTGGCTGGAATGTTCCACAGTATGATATTGTACTGACATATATTCATGGAGACAAACATATATTGCTAAGTTAAAGGTTAAATCTGTGGAGAGGCAAGCATGAGTGCCTGTCTTTCACAGCACTGTTGAGCTACAAAAACAACTGTAATTGAATAAATGCAGGTCAGTTTAATGCCATACTGTGCAACATTCCAGGCAAAGCAATAACATCTCCATACAGACGAGCAGGCAGTGGACACTCCGCCAGAAAAGTTACATAATGCATCATTAATGTGTTGATTACACTGGTGCTATTATTTCATATCACTAAATGATAATGTCTAAATTGATTTAATTGAATGTAAAGGTGACCAACTCTTTCATAAAGAGTATTTATTTGTTGTTTTTACACTTTTTTGCAGCTCCTATACCAAGAAAACAATCCAGGTATAAAGTACGAGTACACCATCAAAAAGGCTAGAAAGACTGGAAATGAGATCACAGATGTTATTTACACATGGAGGCATGGGGCTTGGACACACTGCAGCGCCACATGTGGGCTAGGTTTGTATTTACTTAAATTTTCTTTTAAGCTCTAGATCGAACATCAAAAACTTACAATACTGCTCAGTTGTTCCAATCGTCTATAGAAATGTATTAGTAAAACCCCAATAAACTGCTGGGTCTACTGAAATGTGATGACACAATCCTGACCTCTATATTGTGGGTGCATTGCTCATTCCTTAAGGCATTTTTCCTTTAGGCATTTTGCAGTGACAGCCCCTCATTTTTCAGGTGAGCAGCATCAGCCTGTGCGCTGTGTTGAGGTGGATGTGGGGGTAGTGGACGACTCATTGTGTGACCCAGAAACACAACCACAAGACCGATACAGAAAATGCAAGAATATGGAGTGTCCCGCCAGGTCTACAACTAGTTGAATTTGCTGTCAGGATTTTATACTATGGTAAAAACAATTATATTTCAATTTTTCTTTTACAGATGGTGGGTTGGGGGCTGGCAGCACTGCACTGCCACCTGTGGGTCAGAGGGGGTTCGCTCACGGACAGTGTTGTGTGTCCGCACAGTCTCTGGGGAAGAGACTGTGCTACACCCTATCGAGTGCAAACATCTGCTCAAACCCAAACGTATGATCCCCTGCAACAGGGACACCCCATGTGGACAAGAGTGGACCATTGGAGAGTGGGAAGAGGCAAGGCAACTTTTGTTAAAACCATAGACTGTACAAAGAAGTGCACTAAGGTGTGACGTGACCCATAGCATTCGGCTCCGATCGAATGAAGCTCACGATATTGGGTTTGCTATGTCCATTTATATATACAGTCTCTATTAGCAACATTATATTGGAATAATATATATGCCCTGCTTTCTTTATTGTGGAGGTATAATACTGCTTTACAATATATAGTTCATTCATTAAGACCATTTTCTGTTGCTTCCTTTTTAAAGTGCCCAGTTACATGTGGTGGAGGAGTCCGCTCTCGCAGCGTTACCTGTGCTCTTGCCCCAAAGAAGAGCTGTGACATGTCCTCCAAACCTCGCTCACGCTCTCTGTGTGGACTGCAGAGCTGTCCTAGCACAGGTCTACGGAGACGCCCTGGACCTCCTCCTAAATACCGCCGGCTTTACCCCCCAAAGCGCCAACCCACCAAACCTTCAGACTTAACTTCTACTTGGTTTCCCACGGCAACCACATCCACAGCTGCTCCAACTGTTTACAGTCCAACCACCAGACAGTCTCCTCTCTTTAATCCCACCACCTCAACTGTGAACACATCAGTCTTTAACATTACAGACATACTTGATCATGCGTTTGATGTTGTGCGGACAGAAAAAGAAAGGTACCACATTCCTACTAAAGGCAATTATCCTAAAAGAAGCAAAAATACAAAAAATCCAGAAAATTCCAGAAATAAGATGCAAGAGGAAGAAGAGGAGGGCAGTACTCCCAATGTATTGATGTACACGCCTGGTTATGACTACATTGTTGAAGACAGAACCGAAGAGGAGATAATTGACTTGGATATTAAAACAACAACTGAAGCCAAACCAATGATTACAATAGACACGGCTACACTTACTACACAGACCACTACAGTGACCACCAGGAGACCTCAGCCTAAGTCCACTCTTCGCAATAACAAATACAGCAAAAGATTCTCCATTACAACCCCAAAGAGTGTAACATCTTTGAGTTCTGACTTCTCCACAACACAAGCCCAACTCACAACAACCACACAACCCATAACCACAACAACATGGTTCCAGCCAACAGTAAAGATCATAAAACCTAAGAAGTCAGCAGTCACACCAAAAGACAATACAGGGACTGCCATATCAAAAAAGAAGGAAAAGGGAAATCGCTCCAAGAAACAGAACATCTCCACCAACAACCAGAGCAACCTAATGGCCAGAGAAACTGTGGTTAAGGACTTCACCTGGATTGTTGGAAACTGGAGTGAGGTGAGTTGACATAAATACATCCCATTTATTTATGTTTTTATTTATTATTTGATATTTTTTAGAGCACATGTGAATTTTTGATGGCTCATGTATAAAGTTATGGGTTTAGTTCATATTACTCCATTTTCCAAAAGCAAAATTGACTCATGTGATCTTTAAGCCATGTTATAATGCTCTTACCTCATCAAAAACATGCCTAGAGTTGTGTTTGGTTTCATTCGCACATACAAACCCTGCATATTTAAGATGAGTTCTTGTCTCAAACTGAAAACACACACTTCATGACATCACAAGGTGGAACAGAGCATTTTGAACATTGGAGATGGAGACAGAATAATAATGCGTGAATGAATAAAACAAAAAACAATTCCAGGTATGTTTTTGATGAGGTAAGAGCATTATAACATGGCTTAAAGATCATGTCAGTTTTGCTTTAATGAAGTAGGATTGGGATATATTTTCTTCATATTGATTGATTACAATGATTTATATAATGATTTGTGCGATTTGATTTTTTTTGTTTCCCTATAACATTTGTTTCTGTATTAATCTAATAAATGAGACTTAGTTTATTTAACACACACACGCACACACACACACAAAATCTAAATTAGTTGAAAAGAAAAGCCCTCTTCTTTAAACTACATGCTTTTTACTGCTATAGTATTTTTGGCTGTAGACCTCTCAATTAAAAAGCCCAGTCATTTATCATTGACAATTTGAAACTATTGAGTCTTAGTTCGATCAATTGCTTAACCCCGTAATAAAAAGGCTACTTAATTACGCATCTTGGTTGGCCAATAACCATGAATTTGAATTTGACTGTTTAACGGTTAAGATGATGGCATATTGGACCTAAAATAGCTGCCTAGCAATTGTATTATGAAGTTTTAATAATATGTTATAGTAAGTAAATAAATAACAAAATAAGTATATCTTTTCCACATTCTTCTATGAGTCTGTTTTAACTGTTGTGCTGTCCAGTGTTCGACCACATGTGGGATTGGTGCAATGTGGAGAACAGTGGTTTGCAGCTCCCAGAATGAGGAGGACTGTTCACACACAGAAAGACCTGAGCCTGCACGTACCTGTCACCTGCAGCCCTGTGCCACCTGGCAAAGTGGCAGCTGGAGCAAGGTGAGTAACTCTTGTTACTCAATCCCATAATGAACCTCATTACTAGTTAATTTGACTTCTGGTAATTTTATTTCTGATTAAAGCCATCGTTCTTTTGTTTTCTCCTGTTTAACACAGTGTCCAGATGAGTGTGCTGTTGTGGCACGCAGACACCGGGATGTCCAGTGTGTGGATTCTCAGACTAGAAGACCCCTGAGACCCTTCCACTGCCAGGCTTTGTCTACTAAACCAGTCAGCACTCTGACCTGTCCCCGCAAACTCTGCCTGTCCTGGACCACATCCCTATGGGCCCCTGTAAGTGCTAGGCTTTATGGGGTTTACTGCAGTATTCATGGTGCTGTTTCCTCCAAGCATCAAATAAATTATGGCTCATAATAATATGATATTGCATAATACATTATTATGGGTAGGTAATGTGTATGTTTTTGTTAGTAGTCTTTTTCATTAATTTGCCACTATTCAAGATGGGGTCAGCTTCAGTTCGTGGATTATATCTGCCACCAGAGCTCAGTTAGCAGGATTAAAGTTAATGTGATTTGTTTGTTTTCTGTTAGTGTTCAGGAAGCTGTGGTGATGGTGTTCGTGAGCGACTTGTTTATTGCCCAGAGGCAAACCGCTGCAGAGACTCTATAAGACCAAACAGCACAGAGCCATGCACACTGAAACCCTGTGTTCACTGGACAGCCAAAGACTGGAATCAGGTTAGACTGACTTTAATAGTAAGAAGAAGAATAGGTTTAAGTGATCATAGCTAAAAGTACCCCTGTCTATTCATTTCTAGTGCTCAGCGAGTTGTGGTGAAGGTCAGCAGCATCGTGAAATCACATGTACAAGTGTAGAGGATGAGACAGTAATGACCAGTGACCTTTGTGAAAAGATGCCCAAACCAAATACACTCAGGAAATGTAATGAACACGACTGTAAAGACAGTACTGGTATGTAAATAAGAGTAGTTACATTTTAACTTGTTTGTCCTCAAAGTTTGAAATTAAATACTTTTTTACAGGCTCATTTTGCAAGAAGAACACCATGTCATCTCGCTTTTGTGACAAATTGAAGCTGCTGGGTCGCTGCTCTCTGAGGTCAATCCAAAAACAGTGCTGTGTGACCTGTGGGCCCTAATCACACCGAACAGGCTGTGCTGTTATCGCATTGTACTGTTTTATACAGACTCATCCACACCCAACTATGACTGCATTTGTATTAAAATACTGACGTGAATGATACTGATATTTATAGAAGTCTGTTTTGTACAGGTGCAATAAGATAACTAAGTAAGAACTTATATAAGACAAGTTTTATGGTGCTCTTTTTTTCTACCAAAGTGCTGAACAGAATGTACTGTAAATAATGATGTTTAATAATATTTTGTAGAATGTTTTATATGTTTTGTAAAATTATGGTGTTTAAAACTTTTTTACACCATCATTCATTTTGTAATCAAGATCAAATATAAATTTAAAGTTTGCAGAAATTAATAGAAAAACACTTTCTTGCATCAGATTGCTTTGGTTCCTGTCTATGTGTATTTACTGCTTATGAGCAGTCAGAACCTGCACAGCCCAAACCCAGGTGCTCCTCACTGACCAAAGAGTAAGAGGTGTTGCAGGTCATCCCTCTCAGGTCACTTCTGTGTAAATGAGTTTTTCTACTTTTTATACTTGGTAAGTCCTGCATGTGTCTATCAATAAATGTGACAGTGAAAGATATGGGTAGTGTTTTTGTAAATCAGGTGCTCAGACTAAGTGCAGCTCTGTTTCATGGATCAGGTTGAGCTGGCCCAGATTTCTGAGTGAGTTGTGCCAGAAAACCTGACACGGACGCAGCAACCGCCCCACTCTGCTGCTGTCATTCAAGAACTGCTCTGAGGGTTAGTCAGCACTAATATATTACATAAAGAAGAGATCAGAGGAACAGGAATAGCATAATAAAGATTTTATTTTTGTTATATGTTAAAGGGCCCATATTACACTGTTTTCTAATCTGTTATAATGTTTCCTCATCAAAAACAAACCTGGAGACGTGAACAGACTAATAATTACTGATGATTAATCAAACGTGTGACTGAAACACAACTTAACTTACTTAAAGCTCACAAAAGTCAAATTTGCACAACATATGACCTTTAATTAATTCAACAAACCACTTAAAAGAGGTTTGGCCCAGGCTACTTTAGTTTGTCACCAAGTTAACTTGCCTTATTAGGACAGTTGCCATAGCAATTAGCAGTATAAAACAAAACAGTTATATTTGAATGGTGAAAAGTGCTATGAATGGGGCCTATAAACAGAAAGCTGAAACCCATGAATAACACATTTGGCAAGTTTTCAGGCTTTGTTACATATTCACTAACTACCACTCTAATTTTGCACTTAAACTGTTTACCCATAAAGCATGATTATTCAGTTGTATTATTAATTAAATGATAGTAAAAAACATGTGCAGTCAGGGAGCTGTTTTTGTTTGTAAGGGTTATTAGCCACACACAAGTGCAACAATGTCTGTGTGCACAACAGTGTCTTGACAACTCCCAACAGCTGGATTTGAGTTCAGTTCAAACAGCTTTAGTGGATTTTCTTAAAAAAAGGAGCCCAAATAGCCATAAAATTACCTCTGAAGCTTGAGAAACGCACTGCGATCGTGGTTTGCGTCCAAGACTCAAATGCTTACTTCATTGTTTCTGCTTTTTACACGTTCTCTCAGCACAATGCCAAAACCAAAATAAGTCTAACCTCAAAGATCTATGAGTCAAAACTAAACATTTAACACCACAGAAAGTGCTGTTGGGCAAGTGGAAATGACACCATTATTTGATTAGGCAACTCTTCAATCTTAGAATGAGAACACAGTAAAATTAAAATCAAATGAAATCCTGATTCAGATATTTCATTGTGGCATGGTGAAAAAAAAATAGTACAAAGAATGAACTTTTATAGCATAAATTTTTTCGGTTTTAGTGTAAAAGTTACAGCTTTATTTACATTTAAGCATGTTAGTCCCATTTAGGGAAGTCCTTTGGCAAACCACAAATATGCTTCATGGTTAACACAATTCAAGTGGAACATTTGGCAAAGAGTAAATATAGTTCATGATAATGATGTTTTGTTTCTGCATTAGTGTGTGAAAGTTCGTATTTTTCATTGTCACAATATTATAAATAATGGTTTGTGTTCCAGACATTTGTTTTGATTGTTTCCACAATGGTCTTACTTTGCATGGAAATAAGACTTTCTATGCTCATTCATTATAGATGAACATACTTGCACATGTACAGTTTGACTTGGTCACCTTATATTCCCTCGGGGCAGACTGGAGCAGTTGAACCAGCGTGTGACCTGTAAGTGAATTCTTCTGGGCTCCTGAAACTGACACTAGTAAAGGGAGAATGATGCAAGTGCTTGTTCTGGACAGGAAGATAACATGACAAACATCTATTGATCATCGTAAAGCAGGAAACTGCTACCTCATCTTGTAGGTTACCAGACACCTCTGTCACAACAGCCAGGAACACATTAAATATTTACATTTGATGACCAGGAGAAAAAGCCTCCTGTGTGATCAAGCTAAAACATGATGCAACACTTTCATGGGAGATGCAGGGTCTATCAGTTTGTAAGACAAGAAACTAGAAATATATTATCACATGTGATTTGTGAATCAGACACAAGCCCAAACTCTCAAACAGTTGTGCATTTCTTTGCTCACATTTGGTCCATCCCAAGAGGTGGCCCTCATCTGGACCCCATCACACCGTAGGGCCTGGGGGGATGAGACTGGCATCCTTGTACCAGACCTAGTGCTGTTATTAAAGCCCTCGCCCTCCTCTGACCAGGCCCGGCACAAACAGCATGCCGCAGGGAACTCACACACACATGGTTCCCATAGGACACTGTGCTTGTTTGTGAGTGGTGCGTTTGATTTCACTCAGACCACATATGGACTTGAGTCAAATTAAGTTGACGAGAATTGCTTTTCTTCGCAGAACATCTGCCTAATGATAGTGTACATAAAGGGAGAGTCCACATTCTCACAAATGGGCAAAATCAGAGACACATGACACAAAAGTATCACTCCATGAATATGAGAAATAACAGCTCTGGACCCACCTGCTGCCAGAGGTCATACAACATATGCATAGTAAAGTAACAATATGTGGTCTCAAAACTAGCCTTTTTGCTTTGTAATTGTGTTTTGTATCATTTGTATTTTATGTAAATAAGTATTCCCTGACTTATAAAAATGCTATCCACAAATGCTTGCAAACCATTTAACAATATCTAGCCCAGTCAGTGAATATTAGATATACATGTATAAAGCATTATAGAGTATAGATCCTGTTAAAAAAAAATAGATACTACAACAATAAACCAAATATTCTAAAACAGGATATTTCTAAAATAACATCTCTTTTGAGATTTTTCTTCTTGGCATTGAACTGTGACATATCTCATCTGAAATTTCCTGTTCTATCACTTTTTATTGCTTTGGATGTGATTATGTGTTTCGTTTTTGATAGGAGGATAAGAACCCAGCAGGAGTTTTAGCCTGTAGGTAAGGATCACTAGTACATTGGCCTTCTCTATTGCTTATTGTTCTTAGCTTTGATATGTTATTCAGAAAAATAGTTCTATCAAGATAAAACTGACTAAGTGATGAAACTTTGAATACAAAAGGGAAATGAGACTTATAACAAATCTTGCAAATCTCATTTATATTGAATTTAAGATCGGTACAGTGTGGGTAGAATTTGCTTCCTGGCATCTAAACAGATGCTGCAAATCTGGTGAGGCCCAAAGCAACAAAGAAGAGATATCTCCATTAAGGGACATTACTGGAAAGAACACAGTGAGCTACATTTATCTGCACTATTTATACTCAGAGTAACAGTATCCACACTGATAAAATACAGATGTCTCCATATCAGATATATAATTATTTTTTTTATTATATAAATATTTCTAGTTATTAGTAATATAATATGAGGATTGGTTATTTATGTATTATGTAACTTTTCTGGTGGAAATCAGCCATATGCTCACCATATTGTTTAACTTTTATGATAAGCAAAAACATAAAAAAACAACAACAAAAACACACATTTAAGGGGCAGGTGGAACACCCTCCACCAAAAGTTATATAGTGCACCTTTAATGTGACATAAACAAACAAATTCAAACCTTTTAAAGTATGCATTGAATTAAAATATAAAAATTAAAAATATTATTTTTATTTAGTCTACAATTATATTGTGACCTGAATGACATGACAAGGTGGAACAGAGTGTTTTTTGTTTGAGAGAAAAGCTCAGACTAAATATACAGGGTTTGTGTGTTAACATGTGTGAATGAAACAAAACACAACTACATTATGACATATATCAGAAAATAGTGTAATATGGGGCCTTTAACCAATTCTCATTGACATCCCTATTACAAAAGCAGTCACTGCTTTAAAAACAAAATAAATCTAAATAAATACCATCATGATGCTTGATGCAGTACAGCACATTCCCTACCTTGGCTACTAAAAGAAGATGAAAGATATGCAACAACACAGTGCCAGAAGATTTGTATGTTACAGATTCCATTGCTGATACTTGAGCACATGTTTGTAGTCTGGCATGTAAAAATGTGTTGGACATGAATGCCACTGCCACTGACTACTATATGGCACAGTTTCCTCTGTAGTCACTTAAGGCTTCAGTGGGAAAACTCAGCACAGAGGAAGCACTGATAAGATAACTCTGTCTGAATATTTAGATAACGCCAAAGCAGTTTTAACATCTGATAGCTGTTCTGGAGGGAGACTGCTAAGACACATAAAAGCCACCCCAAAACCAGAGCTCACGCAGAGGATATAAAACGCCAAAGAACACACTGTGACCTTAAAGACAAGATGTTTACAGCACACAGATAAGGCTTAGGAAACTTTTTTCTGTTTAATCACATGAGGTTAGTAGAACTGTCACTGTGTGCCCAATGGTCACTCTTCTCCCGACGTTGGAACATACAGTTTGTCATTGTAAACATTTCATTAAGTTGTGTGTAAAGTCAGAGGATGGAAGGTAACGATGGTAACAAAGGTTAACCTTCCATCCTACAGATACCTAAACATTTTACTAAAAAGTGCATTGCGCAACTTTTCGGGAGGAGGGTGCATCACCTGTTTGTCTTCATGGGGAAGTTATTGCTTCTCTAAAATGTTACAGAGAGATTAAACCTATCTATCTCAAGAGAGACAACTATAGGTTACATTACAGGTCATTATTATATTTTTGAGCAAGTAGTAATAAAATTTTTAGGTATCAGTACTTTACTTGGATACTTTATATGGATAAGTTTACTTTTACTTCACTACATTTGAGAGCATATTTCTGTACTTTCTACTCCATGACATTTTTTAAAGTACTTTACTTTTCTGCTGATATGTCTGAGACTTATTTTAGCACATTTAATTTCAGTTATTGTCAAAACTTTGAGCAAACCAAACAAACAAAAACACAAAAACATCTAGAAAAATTAAGAATTGAACTGAATCTCGTAATTTGTTTTAAATCAGAATCACTACTAAATATAATTTAATTTAATTCTAAAAATATATTTTTTTAAGTTTTACTTTTTTTCATGTGATACTTTTACTTGAATAATCTTTTGGCCATGTTTCTGTAGTTTTATTTAAAACTGAGTACTTCATCAATCAGTAAACTGGTCTCAAAAAAATTTCATACTGACATGAATTTATATAGATACTGGGTGTCGACAAAATTGGACCTCATCAAGAGCTATAGAATGGTCTTGATCTATATCAGAACTAGTACAGCAATATATTAAAAAAGTAATAATATGTGTTGTTACATTCTGTTGTCTTTTTAAAAATTAGCACTGAGGTATAAAACTGGAAAATCAGATTTACAGTTGTAGCGTGTGCACCTCTCTGACAACTTCCTAGAAACAAATTTTCACAGTTATAAATAATTGTCTTGTTTTTGTCTTGATTGTATAATTTTGTCAAATTTTACTGTTGATTGTTGTGTATTGTACTCTCATCATCTTTGTAACTGAATGAAATGAGAAATGCTAATGTCTGATCATTAGAAGATTTTGTTTATACATCTAGTTTTGAGTAAAAATAGACTAAAGAGCCGCTTCAACCCACAAGCTCCATCACTGCACAACCACAGAAGGGTGAAGGCACGTAAATGAGTGTCTATTCTTTATTTATAGCATTTCATATTTCACTTTTTGTTTCTGATTCTTCATTTTGGGTAACTGTACATCATAGTTTTTACAATGACAATGAATCTATTCTATTAAATATAATAAGCATGTGTGCCATATCTCATCTAACGTACCAGACAACAGCAGTCAGCCCTGCACCTTCAGCTCAGATAAATACAGCTATCATCTCTCCCACTCCAGTCTGGTTCTCTCACATGTAGGCACACACACACACACACGCACACGCACACGCACACACACACACATACACGCACACAGCACCACTGGCTCCCATATGTGAGAGGGGAAGTCGAGAAGGGAGGGATCAAACTACTACAGCACAGAACTCCGCACACTCTTGTTTAGTGTCACAATGCTTTAGGCATAGAGTGACCATGCCTGGACTCACCGCAGAGGATTCTGGGAGAAAGAGCAGCACTGGCGGTCGTAGGACCCTCACATCAGAGACAGTCTTCTGAGGGTGGAGTCATCTGGGGATAGAGCGACAGAGAGGGAGAGAAGATGTGAAGAGACGCAGCTCCAAGAGACACAAGAACTGGACGGGCTTCTATCTACAGGAATTCTTTGGACTATTTAACATTATGAGAAACCACGTGTGAGTTTGGACATCTCTCTAAGGAATATTTTGGTGCATATTCTTGCAGCTCTTTGGAGTTTGGATTTGAATTGATGGAAATTCTTTTTTGTGGATATTAAGTTTTTCAATATTATCATTATTATTATTTTTATTATTATTTTAAACTGAATAACTGGAAAGCTCAAATTTCTTTTGGGTTTGAATTTGGAGCACAATAAACATTTTAAAACTTCTTCATGTGCTGTGTGGCTTGGACTGTGCAGAGCTCACTTCAGACAGCCTGGTCTGTGGAGGGCCCCCACCCTGCCCTCTCAGCCTCTTGTGGCCCCCAGCAGCATGTCCCAGGCTCCGTGGCTGCCTCCAGTCCGGCACTCCGCACTCTACCATGAGCAGATGGGCAGCTATTGGGAGTAAGGCTGCTGGGGCTGGCTGTGGGGGTCGGACCACATGCGCTCTGCTCCCCTCACTGCCCTGGGCCCTGGTGCTCACTCTGCTGCTTATGTCCTGCTTCTGTCTGCCTGGAGCAGCATGTAAGAGTGTACACAGAGACACACAGAGACACGTGTCCCCCACCACTGGACTGAACATTTCAAATACAGAGGCTGCTGCATGGACCAGGGCAAGCGGGAGCCATACCAGCCGCGCTGGGGGGCCACAAGGCCGACATGTGCGCAGCTACAACCATCTCCTAGGAGACATACGGAGGAGGAAGCTCTTCTCTTTCCAGAAGTTTTTCCTAAGGATTGATAAAAATGGAAATGTCAATGGAACAAAAAGCAAGGATGATCCCTTTAGTAAGTAACAGAGCATTATTAACCAGACATTATATAAACACACTGGATGCCTTTTTGCAAATTATAATTAAAAAAAATAAATTTCTACTTTTTTGCATTATATTTTGCGTTTATAAGCAAAGCTTAGAGATGTAAGTGTAAATTGTAAATGTGTTTCTACTGACATTGTCTCAAACCATCTCAAACTATGCAGTGTGAGAAAACAAATGCTTAGTATTTACCAGTTTATCTTAAGGTCAACTTAAATGGTAAAACAGAATTTGCATACTTAAATTCAGTACATGCATTTGATACAATCTCACAACAATTGGGTATAGCAATTCCATCTTTGTTTGGATGGTGCAGCCACTGCTCAGAATAGTCTTGCCTTTTTGTTTGAATCCAGGCATCCCTCAGATATCTCTGCTATCCAAACACTCAGCACAATAATGGTAGCAGTGAGGAGACTAAAGAGGAGCAGGGCCCGATAAGTGCACTGTTATCAGGTTGTGTTCACAGCCTAGGGTAAACAGGGCAGATAAAACAAACAGCACAAGGGGAGGATGCCCATGTCAATTGTATTAATGCCTTTGGACCGTTTCTGCATCTCACTCACTCTCCCACTCAAAATGCCCGCCTGCCCGCCTGCCCGCCAGCGCCACGTAAATTACAAAGTGACTTCTGACATGTTTGTTTAGGGCACTTGATGGGCTTACTTGGAGAACACATCTTTAGGGCGATTATGTGTTGTATGTTTGGACTATATTGGTGAGTGAAATGACATTAGTGTCCTAACCTTCCCGCCAGTCCATGGCATTGAGAGCAGAGCTCATTTACCTTAAAACACACACACAGACTTGTCATGCCATTACAAACATGGAAATATATGATGATTTTAAGGCTCCTATGGGACAAACAAACCACAACTGATCTAAGAGACTTAAGGGGAAACGTCAAGGGTGATGTTTATTTTGACAAGGTCACAACAGAGGGAAGCTTATTTACTGTTACTCTGTCAAGGTTTTATGGTGTTTCCAACTACTTTGAGTACAGGAGTTTATCACTGTAATGGTGTGTGATTTTTGTCATAAAGTTTATGGGTTTCTTTTAACTGGCTAAACTAAAATGGATATTAACATTTTCGGTAGGTTAGAAGTAAAAAGCAAATGAAAGAGTAAAATACAAGTTCATGAATGACATGGCTGAGTGTTATTGTGGCCACATCAAAGCCGTCTTCAGTATCAATAGTGGTGCCATCAAACAGTGCAGTCCCAAGGGGCTCAGTGCACAATAATATGTGTATGGATCAGGTTCAGCAGGTAAAAGATACTACACAGAGGTGGCCCCAGTTTGTGTGCGGAGCCCCAGGCCAGACATGATCCCAGGGATGATGTCCTTTGTGTGGCTACTATGCTCCCTTCAAGTGACAAAATATCACATTTGGCTACAGTGAGCGGAAGACAAACTACCTGTGTGCAGCACAGAAATGGTGGCTGGTGGGAAAAAAACTAAAAATCTAAAGAAATTCTCAATATATATTGGAAAGTGTGATAGGACACTAAAATAATTTGGTTTACAGAACAAAAAAATAGCATTACTTTACAGTTGCACAACCTTATTTAAATGTATTAAAGTTGTACTATATAACTTTTCGGGAGGAGGTTATGTCACAAATTCGTTTCCATGGAGATGTATTGCTAGGCCAAAATGTTCCTCTGTATGGAATTAAACTTCAGTATCTAGTGTTCATTTAATTGCAATGTTTTATTGTTTCAGTCTTTCTTCATAACTTTCGTACTGTGAGCGGGATCACCTCTAAACAGATCTGACCTGTAACTTGGCCTGGCTGGTAGCATCCCTAGCGTGTCGCCATTATTATTATTATTTTTTTTTTTTTTACTGTGGAACATTTTAAGCAAAGCAATAACATGTCTAAGGAATCAAGATGGTAATGGATGCTCCACCAGTAATGTTACATAATGCACCTTTAATTAAGCCTAACCCATGTGTAAAAGTAGATCTAAATAATTAAAATTTTATTTAAAATGACAATTAAAAAAAACTAAATTTCAGTGAAGTAGTCATCCCATAGTATCTATCAAATAAGCTGGTACATCTTCTAGCTTAAATGTTGCCCAAATCAAACCATAGATGCTGTGTTTAATTGATAGTGCAGCTTCAGGCTTGTAGCGAGGTGTTGTAAGGCGTGGTGGCTGCTGTCTGTGGCCCGGCCAGAACCCAGCTCTCGTCTGTAACAGAGCCAGCATCTAGACTCCCACGGATTTATGAGGATGCCAGCGCAAAACTGTCCCACATGGCTCTCCAGCTCACCGCAAGACTGTGCCGAGGTTACACAGCCAACCAAATAGGGAGCCAGATACAAGCCAGTGGAGAAGCCCTGCACACGCGCCGCTCAAACTATCTATGATTCACAGCTGAGTACATTTATACAAGCAGCTCTCTGAGAGACTGCTGAGACAGACTTAAAAGGCAGATTATGAGGTGGGCAAACTGGTGCAAAGGGGCATCAACTGATCCCACTTCAGAGTGGGATCACAATCAAAGTTATTATTAGGCTGTAATACAAGGTCGTAACAGATTTTGTGTGTTGGCTTAATAAAGTTAAAGTAATTCAATAAATTATAGTTTACCTCTGAAACAAGTACATGGTTAAGTTCAACCAGGGTCAACTTTTCCAGTTGCTGTGTACATAGGACTTCGTAATTGGTTAGAACGACGAGGCAAAACATGACCGTCAAGTACAGACTTCATGTAGGCTTATTACAACATCATACACATACATGTAATGTATGTGTTTCACAGAGAGTCTAACTAGGATGAGGATAAATAATGGTACAAACTGTGAAGCACATGCTCTTTGGCATGCCACTGTGGAAAAACCACCTTTAATTTTCTAGTGCACCTCTATTCCACAACCTACGCACCATTTAGTGCTGTAACTCCAAACAGAGCATATCAAATAAGCCACACATTAGGAAAAAGCATGCAAAGGGGAAAACTACCATCTCCCTGGGTAAACAGCTGAAACTGCCTGGCTTCAGGATACAAGAGAGGGTTTCCAAAATGTGGCCCGCACTAAACAATTATCACAATTAAAGATTGATGTTTTAATGTGCTGGGAGTGTTTTTAGTTATAGCATTTTCCCATAGTCTCAGACATAATGAGCGCATTTCTTCAGTCTCTTGGGCCAAGCTTTCAGCTGTGAGCCGTGAATGGGGCCCGAGTTTGATTCACCTGCTGCAGTCTGTTGTGTGTGTGGGCGTGCACGTGTGGGTGTGCATGTGTGTATATATACAACCTGTCTCGCCCCTGCCTCCGGTGCTTAACTTTGATCAGTGATCATTACAGCCTTTCTAATCCTCCCTCCACCCCCAGTCTCACTGTCATGGCTCCTCTGTTCTCCTGGCTTTTATCCGGCCCATGTTTACAGAGCAGCCAGAGACGGCCATAGATTGTCTTACATGCTCACTTCAGCGCGGATACCCGATCCACCTAAAGCAGCTCCTCTCAGATCTTCAATGGCCACTGTGTCACCGGCTCCACTGCCGCCTCAGACCGCACTGCCCCGAGGTGCCACTGTTTGAACTAGAAACTGATACCGTCAAGACCTCATGGACGTCAAGGAAAGTCGCTGTATCTTTAAGAAGTTCATTGATCTCTGGGCTCACACCTGCTCCATTCACAGTTTGTTCATATAAAGGATGCAGAGGTCCCAAACTAGGCCTAAGTCACAGAGGTAGAAGGGTGGGCTAAGTGATCAAAGCGTGTCATCACATGTGCACTTCACACCCCCGTACCCTCGCTGTGCATGTGTGCAGATTCTGTATGAGTGCAGGAAGTCAGAAAAGGACCCATGGATCTGAACAAACTAAGAGCGAGAAATAGCATGGGATGAGACAAGAGGGTGCTGTGGTCAAAGGACATGTTAGGAAGTCATATCTCTTTGACCTCTAATACTGACACACAAATATTCACAGCAAGCTGCAGCGTACCCCGTCTCTTCTTACCACAAGTATAAATTAGCAACTTTAAACACTGTTAGAGGAGACATTTGTTTGTATGGTGCTTTACAAGCAAGCAATTAATTTTGAGCCACAGGACAACATTTCAGCAATTTGTTGCTTAAGTGGAAGCTGAGGTGGATGTTTGCAATAATGGTGAAATTACTTGAAATGAAAAGGTAACATTCTCCTTGAGCGATTTACTTTAAAGTTTTAGTGAGGTAATAGTATGAATTATGTCATAATGTTTTAGGGATATTCATAAACAATAATGACTATCTATCAGAAATGTGCAAAAAAGTGCCTGTAAATGACATGGTGTGATTCAATATTGCACAAAAATAAATAGACATTAGATCAAATTAAACACAACTGTGCAGAAATAGAACACTGTACACTCAAGTTACTGTTCTTATTTTATGCAGCCTTTTTTCAACCTTGAGCGCACTTGTAGTTTTTTAAAACAGTTTGTATTACAGAAGAGATATGCAAATCTCAAAAACAGCAACAGCAATACAATAATGCTTGATTTCTCCCTCCTCTATAGGACAGGGCCATCATTACTAATAAGCAGGAAAAACAAATATTGTTTACGTTTAGATTTCATCATGGGTTTTTTTTGCATTGTAGGTATTCTGGAAATCACATCTGTGGACGTGGGGGTGGTGGCCATCAGAGGCCTGCACAGCAATTACTATCTGGCCCTCAACAGGAAGGGGGAACTGTATGGAGCGGTGAGTATTCTGGTCAGGGGTCAATCTAAAAGCTTTAGGAAGAGAGATAGTGCTAGATTCTTCTGCTGTTATCAAAGGGACCCTTATCTTTACTCCTCTAGCTAGGTCAACCCTGAATTACAACCCAGTCCAGCTGCACAAAGCACACAGCAACTTAGCGTGTCGTAAATTGCGAGACTAACACTGATGTCCACTGTTTTTCAGAGGGAGTTTAATGTTGATTGCACCCTTAAGGAGCGCATTGAGGAGAACGGCTACAACACTTACGCTTCTGCAGAGTGGAGGAACAAGAAGAGGCAGATGTTTGTGGGCCTAAATGTCCACGGGAAGCCACTGCGAGGGAAGAAGAGTCGCCGAAAGAACACAGCCACACATTTTCTCCCAATACTGGTGTGACCTGAGTAACAATAGTGCAATGGACAAAGGGATTTGCAATGTTAGAGCACTGTTGATGAAGACAATACACGATGCAAGAGGGCCAAAGCACTACTGTTAAAGAGAAATTCCCCATTCAGAAGATCTTGTAACTTTGGCACAGTTTGCAATATTTATCATTATTTGGGGCCAAACTGGACTGAAATGAACTAAAACTGATCTGCACAGTACAAGACCAAGCTAAAGGACAGAAATTGTGTTATTTATAATCGCCTTCTCCCGTGAGACTCTACTTGTTGTGGTTGGATTAAACAGCAAGAAATACATACATTTCAGCATCCTTACCTGTGTTTTAATTGTAATGTTGTTATTTATTTTTAGAGATATTTAACTGAAGGGTTGCTCTCACAAGCTAATCTTTGCCTTCTGTACTTTTTATAGGAACTTTAAGAGAAAATAAAATTCTAAAAGTTGTGTGATTTCCTCAACACTGCTGCTGACTGTGTAGAGACATTAGTTTGCCTGTGTAGCCCTGGTTTCTAAACAAACAGGAAGCTTGTAGAGCAAACTCAGAATGTAGGAAGGTAATTCAATTGTACAGGTTTGCCGATGCTGTGCTAACCATCAATATGGACCCATTATTGTCAATGTTCTCTGGAGATGCAAGGGCTAAAAGACAGCCAGTTAGGCTTGTCACAGTAATGACTATATCATCTTATTCAATAAAAGAAGATGCAACAATGTTTGTCTTTTTTGTTGCAGGTCATGACTTTCTTAGTATTGTACACTGAGAAAAGGGTCTACTCTGGTTATTGTGCTTTAGAGTTATCGTTCAGTGGTATTGGATAGTTTCAGTGATTTATAGCTTATCATAATTTTGCTCACCTCAACATATTGGACCTCAAATTGAGTTATTGTGCCAAGTATAGAGCCAGTGTACCTGCTAACAGTAATGTGACAAAATACAGAAATAGTGATCATACAGTACCCATATTACCAGCTACAATGTAATGTTTTTTGTTTCAAAACAAAAGTGATTCACATACAGATTTATAATCGAATAGACGAGTATAGATGACAGATATCAGATAAAGTAGCTTCTGAATTCCAGTGATAATCTTAAAATAATGTCAGGGTTAATTTCTAAATTGATTGATGGTCACATGCCTTGAATGTTGGAGATGGAGGGTGAATGGGGATGTGACCCATGTGTGACCACCCACTTCCCCCAGTAATCATCTACAAACGCACTAATCAATGGCAGCTGCCTCAATGCCAGATCAAAAGAGTGTGGGGCGAGCATTAACACCACAGGCTTCCGGACCCCCTCCACCCCCCCCACCCCACCGTCCCGTTTGAGCATCTCTCTGCAAAGCCATTAAAATTTGAAGGGACAACTGACATAGAAAAGACAAGATCTCAGAACAAGCAGACTTAATGACTGCTGTTTATAGCAGAATCTCAATTGTGTGTTCTAGTCTACAAAGGTACAAACGTAAGTAACATTTCTGTTGGAGGGTTCGCCACCTGTTTGTCTCAGTGGATTTGCTATTACTTTGCTTGGAATGTTCAAAAATATATCTATCTCCATGTAGACAAGAAGATGATGCCACTAGATCAAGTTACAGGTCAGATCTATGGAGAGCTGACAGCTCATAGTAGAATACATGTCAAGGCAATTTAGCAGTAGTAACACATTAATTGACTAAATGCAAGATGGATGGGGAAATTTAAGACAAAACAATAGCATCTCAATGGAGACCAGTAGTGGACCCTCCACTAGAAAGTTCACCATTAACTAATAATAAATCTATAAAATACAGGGTGAACCGTGGTACCACTGAGCAGTATGAGATCCAACTTGTCAGAACTAAGAGCCAATCTACAATATCCCAAAGATGTTTTAAGGGAATCAGGTCCCACTGCACAAATGTGGGGTCTAACATTAGGCATTCAATGTGCCCTGGTTTAGATATGCACTCACTCATGGCTCTTTCTTCAAACCATACCGTCTGACTAACAAACCAGTCCTGATGAAAGCTGCTACAGGCATGGCTTTACACGTATGTGGCATGTAGGGTGAATTTTCTCTCATCTGTGAAAAGCATAGGGTCCAAGGTTATGGTTTTCTATGGTAAAAGCTTGAACAAGTTCCATGGCATTTGGCAGTGAGCACTGGGGCCAATAGGACATTACACCTCAGGACTCTAAAACTAACCTGATTTATAATTCAGGCATGATTCTCTTAAAAGTGATTTTCCAGATCAAAATTTTCTTGTATGCCTAAACCCCCCAGACTAAAAAATAATCTACATTTTAGCTATGGTGGAAAGAATGTAAACACACCTCCTATGCACACCAATCCAGTTGGCATTTCACATCCATTTCATTCCAGACCTGTGAATGTTTGAACTTTCTCCAAGAAACTGGCACAGAGGGAAAAACTGCAATAACACAAAATGAGCGTCGTAATCCTTTATCAAAGTGGGTCTGAACATTTCTGGCTGGAGTTTCTCTGTGGCATAATGTGATCCAGGTTTGCGAAACAAGTGGAAAATGACCGGGGGGCAAAACAACTAATGAATAGACCTACTTACACAGACAGGTCTGCAACACATGTTTGCAGTGGGCAGCTATTGACTCTTGCAAGGTGAGGAGATGCAAGTCAGAGGCTCTGTAATCACAAAATGCGTTATGTAATTAATTTATTATTCTTGTAGCATGTACTTATATCAAGGACATCTGTAAAAATAAACTGTGATTACTTGATTCGTACCCTTTATCAAGCTAACGTCCAAGTTTTGTGGAAATAACTTTATCCCCTCCACACCACTAGATGGCAGCAGTTTTGTTTCGCTATCTAAGCCTGTTAGTGGTTGTAAAAGGAAGTGGGCTAAAAGTTGTGTACACAGCTCACAGTGCTCTCCAAAGACTAGCCAATAACCAACATGGAAGAGAGATAAGCTGTGTCTGATTCAGGGGGAAAGACAGAAACACGCGAGAGGGAAATCGTAACGGAAGCGATTATTGAATCTTTTTCTAATGCTGTTGTAAGAATAATAAGTTGTCAGTCAGCATGAACGATCCTTTTGACCGAGCTCCGGGTGCAGGGAGAAGCCGTGTAAATCCAGGAGAATACGGATTCCCAGTTGGCGCTTCAGCGGCGGAAGAAGAAGCCAAATCTCCTATTTTCATCCAAAGGGAACCGCTTAGACAGCCGCGAACCTGCCCTCCTCCTCCCGAGAGCACCAGCAGCCCAAACAGCGGCGCCGACACAGGCTCAGGTACCGGGAGCAGTGCTGCAGGGGCACCAGTGCTAACCAGACTAGCCTCAGCACCCTGCTACTTTCAGTTTTGTTTACAGCTTAAGGTTCTCTGTCGTGTGGGCGGGTATGAATCACGTAAACTAAACTAAAATCTGTACACACTTAGATAATGGGGACTGTCACCCTTATGGGGACAAAAATCATGTGCCCCTGACCTGACATATAGCCTCTATTACTAGATCAACAACATTGTTTTAAGTTCACTTCAGATATGGGTTGAAATAGGTTAGGGTTAGGGTTAAGGTTAGGCAAGTAGAATCTATGGTTAGGGTTAGGATCAGTCTTCAGGAAGTGAATGTAATCAATATCTCCAAGAATCATGGAAACCCAGTGTGTCAGATTCATGGGATTTATCTATGTGTCAATGTATAGTGTACCTTGTTTAGAAAACCCAAAATCATGTGGTAGAGCAGGATTTTTATCAGTCTCCTGTGTGTGTTAACAAACAATGTGACCTTGCTCTTTCAGATTGGAACTGTCCAAAAAAGACTCAACAATATCCCCAAAGTACTCCCGTGTACAATGAGGTCAGTTCTATTGTCAAGATGTCAAAACTTTCTGCAAATGCGCCAGAGTTTGTTCCCTCTGGGTTTTTCACATATGAGGTAAATTATTATATAATTCTCATATAACTAAGAATTATATAATACCCATACAGTGCACTTAGGCAATAATGTTTTACTCACTACAGGAAACCCCCTTGTATGATGAAGGAGATGCCTACTATAATGAACCAACTTTGGCAGACATGGTCACAGACTTCCTTGGCCACCTGAGCTCTTCGCCTGGGTCTTTCGAGACGGACATTGAGTACATAACAAACATGCTCAGTTCTTATGTCTCTACTGAAGAGTTGCTACAGGAGCTAGTGGAGCTCATCTACTCTAAGGTTTGAGTCTCACTGAGTGTCTTTATTTGTGTTGCACCATTATGCAGTAATGAGGTCTAAATATCTAATTGCTCTTTTGGTGGTGTAGGATGAGGTATTATGTTCTGTTGTTCTTCCTTCTAGTCTACTGAAATCCCAAACTTTTCTTACATGGGTGCAAGGCTTTGTAATTACTTATCCCATCATCTGACTATAAGCACAGCAAAAGGCAACTTTCGCCAGCTTCTCTTGATAAGGTAATTTACTTTTATGTTCTTTGATAATGGTGGTATGATGATACTCCAAGAGGCTAGCTGTTTTATCCTGTAATTGAGGCATGCTGTCATTTTTAACCTAGTTTTAATATTTACAGATGTCAAACTGAATATGAGCAAAGGGATAAAGCTGTTTGGGGAGATGCTGAGACACAAAAAAGGTTTCATTCTTATGTGCTCTTTTTGGCTGAGCTGTACCTTCACCTTGAGGTAAGTTTAAGCTTAATTGTAGTGAACTGTCAACCTTGCATTGCACTAATTATTATCTGTTTTTAGGTTAAAGGTGCCAAAGGGACTGAAAGGGCTCAGATTCTTCTTACTGCACTCAAAGATCTCATGATCAGTCTCCTCTCCAATCCTGTGGACGCTAATCTCATCTGTGCTGTCAAACTTCTTAAGGTCAAAAATGTTTTATTATTTACAGAAGAAAATATGTTTCCAAATCTGTTATTCAACATTTCTGTATTCTTTTGCACAGCTCACAGGCTCGGTTTTAGATGATGAGTGGAAGAGTAGAAGGCAAACACACATGGATGAAATTATACAGAGAATAGAGACTGTTTTACTAGATGCTACATGTAGTCGGTGTGTATCCTAGATTAAGAGTACGTTTATGGTTGAAATAAATTGAACACGACTCTAATGTTATACAGAGATGTACGGCAAATGCTTTTGAAACTGGTCGAGCTGAGATCTAGTGACTGGGGCAGAGTAAAAAGTGCCACAGTAGCAAGCAGCGCCACACCAGATAATGATCCCAACTACTTCATGGTAATGTTTTTTTCTGCTACCTCTCATATTGATTTTGTTGAGGTTTGATGTGCTCTAACTTTTTCATAACTTTCCTTTTGTAGAATGAACCCATATTTTACACTGAAGATGGCACTCCCTTTACTGCAGCAGATCCTGGTATGGATTTTCTTTTTTTGCTATGAAGTTGCATAATAAAATGAAAACAAACAGTTCAGCTATGATTTATTTTCAGATTTTGCTGAGAGATACCAAGAAATTATGGACAAACAAAATTATTTCCATGATTTGGATGGAGAAAATGGCTCTGAAGGGTAAGTAACCATTATGGGCCCTGTAACCAGTCCCACATACGTGAGATAAACATCTGCTATAAATGTCATAGATTTTTTTAAATAATCTAATAGTCTCTAGTAGTCTCATAACTAAGGCTGGGTATGTTTTTATGCACCAGTTAAACAATGATTGCTATCAAATAGTTTTTTTAAGTACCTATGCTCTATTAATCAATAACTTGACACATAAAACATCATATGAAGAATTAAAAATGATATAAAACAATATTTTTAAAAGTGGTAGTGTTTTGTACTAGGACTACCGCACAACTTTCTAAAGCAGTGTCACAGGACTCCACGGTTCTGAATATTTTTGTTTGTTTTTTTAAATATTTTTAGTGTCACATAAGTGTCATCAAATCGTATAAGTAATTAGAACACTATAGCCATTCACATAAGAACTGGTGAGGCCCTGTAATGTGTTTGACTGATCCACTATTCACCAGGGCTTGTAGTGCCTCCTCTCAGCTTTGGTCAGCAGTGTGCTGTAAAAGAGGGATTAACCAGGTTTTAGCTGTTCTCACCACTGTGAAATGAGGCCGTCTCTAACAAAAACACTTACTAAAACTAAAATATAAAAAAATATAAAATGTCTAAAGTCCTGTGTTGTCTTATTTCAGCTTTGACTTTGAAGATGAGATGGAGCCGGAAATAGAAGAAGCTTTTGAGAGCTTTTGTTTAGAAACTGAACGAAAGCACCAGAATCGTGGTTCTCAGTAGGCTCATGTTTATATCACGTAAGATGCTGGAAAATTTAACAGAATAACAACAAATAGCCCAAACGTTTACTACAAGCTGGTGTTTTTTTTAAGCTGTTTATAGTTGCACTGACCCTTTTTAGTCAGCTGTGTTGCATCAGAAACTGGGGACAATCACTGGGATAAATGTTTGCTCTGTTGAGTGTTTTAAGTTTTCTGTCTTTTACCTTTCGAAGAAAGTCAACCAAATGCCAATATAGAAGATGTGTGCTGTGGATTGTGTTTAGATAAATCAAATTTGTTCAAAAATTGTATTTCTGAGGTCACTGGCCAAAAAGTCAACTACTATTGGTTTGTGACACTAAAATGGGTCTAGTAGTTCATCATTTACATAAAATGCGCATACATCCAGTATGAGTACATTTGAAACTTGCCAATACTGTTAGGTTCTCCTGCTTTGTGTAAACCTGGCTGCACTTTACAAGTGCCCATAAACAAAATACTGTAGTTTTTGCATTTTAAAGTTTTATGGAAGATAACTAGGAATGCAAAGGCTATTTTTTAAATGTAGCTTTAAATTTCTATTTCATTTAATCAAAAGGTGAGACATCTTTTTCTATCCCGAATCTCAAAGACTGTTTGTTCTCAGAGCCCATACAAAGAATGTTGTTTTATAGTTTGTATATATTATTTAATAATTTTGTTTGCCTGCAATAAAAAGCAACTTTATAATGTAAAGTGTGGCGGATCATTTAATGAGCGTACAATATTAACACGTGACAATTGCCTTTTAAAAAGGCAAAACATCAACATTTGAGGTGTATTGCTGCCCTCTAGTGGTCACGTAACCTTGCTCTTGATAGCCATATAGCTATGATAACTCCATATTCTTTAGCGTTGAGTGTGATTTGATGACGTGATTAGAAAGCCTGTGCCTAAAATCTATACATTTGGAAAGGCCTCGGAAATGACTGCAAGTCAGTGTCCTCAAGCATGGAAATCCAACGTGCGTGTTTGTGTACGTGTACACTAGCAGAGAGAGTAGGGTTTATGGCCTTCATATAATTCCTTTAAAGACATTCTCTGATTAGTTGCACCCACCCTTTTGCCTTTAGTGAAGATGCATCAAAAGACTATCACAATTGTAACCGTATTAACTATCAGTCTTCTTCTGGACCATAGCATCACAAAATAATCTGTATGTGGTTCACCACAAGAGACAATTAAGTGAGACAGCATTTTGTTTGTCAAATATTAAGTGGAATGGAGAAGTGGGGAGTTTGTTTATTTGTGGTAACACAGCTTACCACAAATAAATTAACTCTACTTACTGCATTTGACTTCTTCAGAGAATGTTGACACTCTAGGCAATAGTTTTTAGTTTTTTTGTTGTTGTTTTTTTTTTTTTTTCTATAATGGATTGCCATATGAGTCTTACATTTTTAAATAACAAATTCACACATTTGATTTAATTTCTATTTGGTTTGGCTGCCTCTGTACCTAGAAAAAATCTATACAAAGAAAATGTATTGAGTCATATTGAATATAACATATGACTTCTGTCGAGCGCTCTGTAGATATTCATTGTATGAGCCTCTTTGTAAGTGGACAGTCTGGCTCACCCTGCATTAGTCCGGCATTCGCTTTGGTCAGCACACAGTGGTGAAAAATTGGGATTAGTACCACAATCCAAACAGCATTCACAACTACATATGATTATTTACTTACAATTTGGCAAATAATTTGACTCATAAGTATGTGTTTGTGTATTTTTTATGTTTTGTAAAAGGCAAAGCTGGGGTACGCAAACAAGCTTGAAAATGTGACAGCTGTAGTAAGGTCAGTGTTTCCACTTAAACCCATACTGCCAATGGCATATTACACAGTTCTGATTTGCGTATGGGGCCTTTAGTGTCTAGAGATATATGTAGTAAAAGAGTTTTAAAAGTTGGGATCTTGATCACTTATCTTGGTAGCTATTTAAAGTGTAGCTGTAAAAAAAATAAATCTCAGAATGAAAAGCAGCACATAGGCCTGCTATGTATCATCATTATCTCACTTCTGATTCACACATGTGGGAATTTCCATCTCAAAAGTGGTAATCAAGCAACAACAAAAAAATAACACAAAAAATATCTTTAGTGTCCTATTGGCACGGTAAATTGTGGCTAAAAACTACCCTGACACCGAAAAACAAAAAAGTTAATTCACAATTAATTTTAAACAAAACCTTTTTTCCAAGAAGTGTGTCACTATCCTTTGAAAAAGTGGGTGACTTACACATGAATCATGGCTAAACAAAGATCATGACAGGGACAAAATGATAATTACTAACCGGAACCACTCGAATTCTTTGTTAAAACGTTTTTTTAAGCATAGGCTACATTAAAATCTTTCAGCGCCTGTTAGTAGTCTGTAGTTATAATGATTCCAAGCATTCAATTCCACACCCCCACTGAACCCAAATCTTCAAAGTTGACCATTAGTATTATTAAAGTTATTGAAATGTACATTAAACTTGTGCGCCACAATAAAACACAGTGGTTCTTATGTCTGTTGTGTGAATTCTTTCCAGAGGAGCAATTTGAAAAGAAGTGTCCAATTGAAAATGAAAAGAGAGGGACAATTGTTTCAACATCCTGTCTTTGCCCCTCGTTCACTCTGTCTGCACGCGCGCGCGCACACATAGTACTAATTGGAGCGGTTTAAGATTAGCTTTGATGTTTTGCTTTAAATACCTACATCAAATTGCTTTATTTATGTATTATTTATATACTTTTTAGTCAGTCATTAACAACGATAGTTCAGTCTTAAAACACTGTTAGAGTCTAGTTTGTAGGCCTACTGTTTATGACTCTGTAAACTGCTTAAAATGTCTGCGTAAAATGCGAATGGCATTACAATTAGACATATATTATTTTTTTGATTACGCTGATATTAAATAATGCAGACAGCTACTGAATAAAAACAGACATGACTCAAGTCAACACGAAGTTACGCCCTTCTCTGCGTTTAAAGTCCAGAAACAGGTAACTTAACCATATTTAGGAAGCGTGCGCGCTGCGCCACGCCTCCATCATCATTACCACCTCGCGCTCCAACAACACACACAACGATGGAGCGCTTCTGTGGGATATTCATCTGCACCCTTCTTCTCCTGGGTAAGCAAGCTAAACACACGACTTTGTGGGTTTTTCGGTCAAATCTATTCAAGCCCTATCTTTTCAGGTAGTTTCGTCTAACTTATTTCTCGTCATCTCCACTCGACTTTGTCAAAAGTTTGGCAGCACTAAATGCTGAACAAATGCTTCCACAGTTGTCAGTGGGCATTTCGGACTGTAGGCTTTAACCGTGGCATCGTGCCATTATTAGAGTTGCAGGTATAGCACTGGCGTGATATTTGATAGTGTACTAAATGAAGGTCGTGATAGGTGCGTAAAGATGACCTAAGCCCACCAGCCCACCACATTCTTCTGAGTGCTGCCTGTGAGAACTTGTCCCATCACAGTGCAAACACAAATTACACAATCTGACGCAAGTGTGCCGGAACTGCGGGCAGTGGCTTTAGATGCCTTTTATAAAATTTAACTTTGGATACATGGAGGTTTAGACTTCTCCAGATATGCATTTTTATTCTGTTTGGTACTGACATGGTTGTAGTGTTTTTGTTTTTTGGGAGTCTAAAATATGTTTTAACATTACCATTAACGTTACCTTCCCTTTTTATTAAAACCTATTGCCAAATAACTTGTTTTTCACACTTCTCTTTCTTCAGCTGGTGGCGTCTGGCCTTCACACTGCTTCAACATTGGCACTTCAGGAGCTCAGGTTTTCAGTGGACCCACACAACAAGAATTTGGCTATACAGTGCAACAGGCAACAAACCACGAAGGAAAATGGTATGGCCATTTTATAATATATTGTGTAATGCTCAAAATACACATTTGACCCTGTATGATATACTTATTCAACATGTTGATATACTTATTCAACATGTTGATATACTTATTCAACATGACATTATGATCATAATTCAGTTTGACCTTGTCAGAAATGCAACATATAGCTGCCACTACAGCTGTACAAAAACATTATAATTACTTCCTTTTTCATTTTAATTGATCAATAACTTCTACTATTTTACTGAATTGCTTCTGATCCAATTGTACTTTCTTCCTTTAGTTCTTTATATAACGTTATTTGATGTGTAATAAAATGCTCTAACAAATACAAATATTAAGAACTTATAGGTAAATCTTTATTTTATTTTTTTTAAAGTAATGAATTAACTTTCCTCCAATTGTGTAATATCTCACCTGTTATTATCACTGACTAATGTGGTGTGTGGCAGTGTGGTGATGCTGAGTTTGAGAAAAGCTTATTGCTGAGTAACAGGAAATAAGAATGTAGTAAGTTTACACTTGTTGCATCTTGTCAGTTGTGGTATGTGAGTGATATTGTTAACTTGGATCTTAAGTCCTCATTAAGAGATAGTACATTTTAAAGCTACCCTACCCTAAAGCTAAGTTACTTCTTCCCCAGGGAAAGAAGGAAGTAGGTATTTAAATCTAACTTTCCCTTGCTCTCACAAATCCTGAATAACTTTTTTCAGACGGCAAAGTCGGCAATAGTTGATCATATTTGTCAACAGAAGACACGCTTGGAGAGTTCAAATAATGCTGAAATAAAACTTTTTCATAACTTAAAGTTTAGATGCATCCAAAATAAGGCACTGGAAGGATCAGAGGGAGTTAAAACATAGAAGTGGCACTCCCTGAACTACCATTTAATAAACTAAAAGTTTAAAAGTTATCAAATGTTTAGATTTTGTTGACATAGAAACCTAAAAAAAAAATCCTGGTATTGAATTTTTTTCAATAGTTGGGCCCAGAAATCTAAACATGTTAGAATTTGCCTTAAGATCATCCAGCCTACTCAGACTTTTATCTCTTTAGGCTGCTGGTTGGTGCTCCGTGGAGTGGATACAGCCAAAATAGAAAGGGGGATATTTACAAGTGTCCCATCTCAGGGTCAAGAAACACGTGTGACAAGCTTAATATCCAAGGTAGTGTTTCACCAGTTTTTGTTAAAATCCATAAACATCATATGGTCCAGCAATGCAATGAATTGATTATTTCTCTATCCTCAGATTCAGTTAGTTTACCTGGTGTCTCTGGAATCAGTAACAACATGAGCATTGGGTTGACCCTGACCAGCATGCCTGCAGTCACAGGTTACCTGGTATGTTTTTATAGGCAACAAATAAGAGGCGCTAACATTAAATGAATACAATCACATCTAAATAAATACTTCAGATTATAATTTGACATATTTTACCTTTAAACTGACTCACATGCTTTGCTTTTGGTAGACTTGTGGTCCACTGTGGGTGCAGCGCTGTGGTGATCAAGATTTCTACCCAGGAATCTGCACAAAAATGAGTCCTCTCTTTCAACCCCAACCAGCATTCTCTCCTGCTGTACAAAGTAAAATATTTTGATTATTTAGATATATTTAGAGATGATGAGGCTAGTGAAGGGGACAATGAGATGGGGAGTGCTGGGGCAAAGGTGGGGTGTGGCACAAACTGAAGTGGAAATGAGAGTTTAATTTGGGCAGATAAGGTGAGGTAGACAGGACCGAAGTTAGGTCTTCCAGGCTGAATTTACAATAGCTCCATTTCTACTCTGATCAGTTCTATGCATGCTGCAGAGGACAATCATAAATGCATAAATTAGGAGTAATATTATGGCCATTAAGAAATTTACAATCTCACAATTTGGCCACAATTTGGCAATGACCAGTGTCTTATTTTCTATGGGTGACCACAAAGCACCATTCATCTATAGATCATGATTTAGGCTTCATCAGGAACACCTCAGGCCCATCTTGCCCCAAATCTTAGCACTTAGAGACAAGTGTGGGGCGTGGAGTTCTAAACAAGAGGTGTGCCATGGCTGAATATCAGGTGGAGCAAAGCAGACTGAAGGCGTGGTGTGGAGCATTCAGTGAATTGCCAGAATAGTAAAAATAAATATCAAACTAGTCCACTGAAAAACAACAGTCGTACCTCAGGTGAGTCCGTGGTAGTGGACTACCAGGACAGATGCGAGCGGGTGCGAGAAAACAGTGGGTCTGTGGGATGGGGAGCACATGAGACAGACACTGGTCTTAAACGAACAGAGAAACTATAAAAGGTTGATGTGTGCGTGTTGCACGGGCTTATAGCGGTGTGCGTACATGAGAGGGGAACATGTGCGCGTGGAGTGTTCGGAACACAAACCCAGTCAGTTCTGTCATGGCCCACACAAAATTCTATATTCCTGGCGTCTCTGCTGGTGTGTACTTGGCATCGTGGGGCTCCAGAGCTGTTTTATTGTCACATATATAGCTTTCCCCACTCCCTCTTTGCTGCTTGATAATAAGGCAAAGTTTACAGACATTACCCACACTGGCAGTGCTTTTAAATGCCACAGTGCTCACAGATTGGTTCAGATGCCGTCACCATATATGCACTTGTACCGTCCCACTCCAGCCTCCAGCAGCGAAGTATAGCCCCACCTGGACACACCCCCTCCATAACGCTTGTGCTTAGTGCTAAGATTGGGGGCAAGATCGGGTCCCTACACTCCCTTGTGATGATTTTGTAGATAGTGTTACATATTGTATTATTTAATTGTGTATCCAGTGCAATATTTTGATCATAATGCTAATAATAGAGTTAAAATTGCAGAATATTTTTTACTAAATGCTGTAACATTTGCAGAGTGTGGCAGTCCTATGGACATTGTTATAGTCCTGGATGGCTCTAACAGTATCTATCCATGGGAACCCATGAATGAATTTGTGAAGAAGCTGATAACATCACTTGACATCGGACGGGACAAAACACGGGTTTGTCTTTTTTCAGATCAAATTTGAGAAATAACAAATAATACACTGCTTAATCTTGATTTTATTTGAGGCTTCCAAAGCCGCATATGACAGGTTAGACTAATTCACTAAAACATAGTTAACATAATCATACTTAAAATGTTACTTAAAAATCTGTCCTGATTTTTCTAGTTTCAGGATTTAGATGGACGTTTTTAATTTTACTATCAGGTGGAACTTAGTAGATTTTGTAAACGAGGGCCAAAGCGTGTCTAATTAACACAAGCCCTGGCTTATTATATGGCAAATATATGATCCCTCCCATGCCTTGTGCATTTTGGGTGGATTTTGTTTATTGATACTTTGTCGCTGATGTTGTCAACATTCCCAGGGTGTGTGAAGTTAACTGAAAGCACTGCCCTGTCTAAAGCTCTCTTACTCAATTTAGACTTTAATCTGTGCTTTATTTTAGCACAATCTGACTAGAAAGAGCTGATTTGGTTGGAATTACAACAGGTGAGATGATTTGACTCTTAAGTCTCTCACACATAAAAGTAGACTACAGTCACAAGCTAGTTAGCGTTATCCAACAGTTTTTCAATTAGCCACTTGCATGTTCTTTCTTTTTGTTGACCACGAATGCTTGGATTGATCACAGGCTCCTGAAAATCTGCTGTTTAAATCCATTTTGTATTTTTTCTTGAGTTTTCAGATGATCTTAAAACTCTTTTGTTTGTGTTTGCTAATGAGTGCTTTGTGTCACCATGGAAACTGCTGAACATTCTGCCAATAAAAATGCATTAATGAACACCCTAACTCAAAGTAGACCTTGTTACTTGCTATTTGCAAAGTGCTTTCAACTTTTCTTGACAAACTGACACTTGTAAAATATGATAAAAATTTCCCACAAGTAGGCTAATATCCCACCAAAAAACTTACACTAACATGAAAACCTGTTATGTGATCCAAATAGTTTTTGTCGTAATTCCAGGTGAGTGTGCTTCAGTATTCGGTGGGCGTTCAAGTGGAATTTCACCTTAATGACTACAGCACCAAGGAGGACGTGTTCAAAGCAGCATCGAGAATAACACAAATGTACGGCCACTCAACAAATACCTTCAATGCCCTTCAACATGCCTGGTGAGTTCTTGCATTTAAGACACAGTATTATGGAAATGTGTGACTATTAAAGGTGCACTGAGTAACTTTTCTGGTGTAGGGTCTGTCAAATGCTTTTCTTCGATGGGCATGATGTTATCTCTTTGTCTGAAATGTTTCATAGTATGATATTAAACCTTTCTATCATCATGGATATAAAACCAGACCAAGTTACAGGTCAGATTTGTGGAAAGGCAAGTCCACTCAGTAATGAATGTTAGGTAGAGCTGTTTACTGTGGAACATTCCAGGCAGAGCAATGACATATCCATAGAAACAGGCAGGTGTTACATAGTGCGCCTTTAACACCTAACAACTGTAACATAAAAAGACATATACAGTTCATTGGATTCCCATAACATAACAAAATTTCAAAGCCTTTTCCTGTTTCCTGCTTATAGGTTTATAGTGTTTCATCTGTCTGGATTTGAATAGTAGAATTTACTGTTGAGCTATCAAAATTATTGACTATATAGCCATCCCATTCACTTTCATCTGCAACAAGTCTTTTTCAACGGGTATTTTCCCCATTAAAATGAAAATGGCAAAAGTTATACCAATCTTCAGAAGTGGAGACAAACATCAGTTTACTCATTACCAGCCAATCTCATTACTGCCGCAATTTTCCAAAATCCTTGCAAAATTATTTGTGAAAAGACTGGACCAACTGCTAAGTGAATTGCAATATGGATTTAGATCGAATAGGTCCATTTCAATGGTGATAATGAAGCTGGTGAAGCAGATATCAACTGCATCTGATAAGAAAGAGTACACTGTTGGTGTTTTCACAGACTAAACATAGGCTACAGACACAATAGACACAATAGACCAGGGGTGCTCACACTTTTTCAGCATGCGAGCTACTTACAAAATGACCAAGTCATAAAGCTCTACCTAATACAAAGTCAAGCAAACTGCACTGAAACACTCTGTGCCCCTTATTTGGACCCTCACCCACAGTTTGAGAATCCCTTCTTTAAGAGAACTTCCTCTGGCACTTTACACAAAACTATGAAAAAAGTGAAGGAAGATTTTTAAACCTGTTTTTTAAAGTCCCAAACTGGAGTTGCATTCTTTTCTGGTTTTGCAGTGATATTTACCAGCCTCTGCACGTTTACCAAACCAAACGCACATCGTGACAAACACAGATGCATTTGTGCACTTTTGTTAGGCAAACTTCAGCCAAATGTGGCAGTAGGTCTGTTCTGTAGATCTGCTCTATGCTGTAGGCTGCTTTGTGCCAACACTGTAACACAAATTTAGACTCGTTTTTGCTTCACGTTTCGTCTTGCTCTTCTAATCAGCGCGCACTGTGGAAGGGGCTTGTGTTTGCTGTACGCAGGAAGGAGCGAGAGCGTGAAAAGGCGGGGGGCGGCGTGCTGACGTGAGGCAGATGGACAGGTAGGATGTTTAGGAAGTTTAACCTGCCCTGTGATGCACGCTGGTACACGAGGGCACACGCTGTTGCAGACGAGCCGTGCATAGGGAGCGTGTGTGTTTGTGATGTGCCGTAGAGTCTCCACGGGCTGCACTGAGCGCACAGGCTGCACTGAGACGCCCCACACGCTCCTGCACTCCGCTACAAGTTTATTGCCAACAGCAGCGGCCGTAATGAAATATGATCGCACTAGTTGAGTGAATGAGAGACAAGGCCGAGTCCAAACGCAAGTCCGAGACGAGACACGGCGATCTACCCACACGACCTTGGCGATCGACTGGTAGATCGCGATCGACGTATTGAGCACCCCTGCAATAGACCATAGATTACTTCTGAACAAACTGGAGAGGTATGGGATTAGGGGCATTGCACATGAAAAAAAGTTACTTAATTGTTCAATGTTCAAATAAATAATGTAAACTCAGACAAGAAGAATATCACACATGGAGTTCCCCAAAGATCTGTACTGGGACCAAATTATTTATAATATACATTACTTACAATATTGGTAAAAAATGTACATAGTATTTTATTTGCTGATGACACCAGCTTGTATTACTCTGGGCAAGATCTTGATCTCCTCTTGAATAAAATTCAAACTGAACTTGCAACTTTAAAAACATGGTTTGATATGAATAAACTGTCAATTGATTTGGAAGGAAAAAAAAAAAAAAAAAGCAAATACATTATTTTTGGAAATAAAAAAATAAATTAACAGTGTCACATAAAAATTGGTAGTACAGAGACTGAGAAAGTGCACTCAACAAAATTCTTGGGAATAAATATAGATGATAAATTAAACTGGAAATTGCACATTAATATTCTGAAAGATTAAAAAACAAAAACAAAAAAAACATTGCTATATTAAGTAAAATTTAAAACTCTGTGTAAATCAAAATGCACTCAAACTATTATAGAATGCTCTCATGAAAATATAGGGGAATAATTATAAAACGAATATCAATTCTATTTTCTTATTGCAAAAGAAAGCTATTAGAATTGTCACTAATGCAGATTACCGCACCCCAACAAATGCTCTTTTTATTAAATACATTCAAATTAAATACATTAAAATGATCTCATTACTGCAATTGTGATGTTTAAGGCACATAATAATCTGCTCCCTCAAAGTATCCAAGAAATGTTCAAACTCAAAGAGAGTGAGTACAATCTGAGAGGATCGGCTCTTTTGTGAGGACTAGCCTGAAAAGTTGATGCGTCCCCATCAGAGGTGTTAATCTGTGGAACAGTCTGGATGAAACGTTAAAAGGCTCTAAAACACACATTTAAAAAAATTTATAAGACCAGAATTATGGAGAGAAATAGAGAAATACAATAAATCTTATCTTACCTCATGGAATTTACCGATTAACTATAACCATCAATTATATGAAGTGTCTGTGTATGTGTACTTATATACCAATAGGTATGAATACAAAGGTGTACATGGGTCAGTGTGTGTGTTTGTGTGTGTGTGTGTGTGTGTGTGTGTGCGCGCTCACGCATGCACTTGTGCGTGTGTGTGCATGTGTGTGTAAACACTGACTTGTATTGGATTGTGTGTCTGTATTGTGTGTGTGTGTACCAAAAGAATTAAGTAGGCATTCTTTCCTGCATTCATAAAAGATTTGTTTTGTTTTGTTTTCTGTAATAGTTCTGGCGTCTTGTACCCTGTGCTATATGTTAATAGGTTTTGGCAAAATAAGTGTTAAAACTTCAGCCTAAACCCCTTTGGTTTGTAGAATAACTTTAGTGATATTCATAATTTCTGTGTTAATCATTGTAATATGATTAATGAATATGTTAAGTGACCAAAGAAAACTAAACTAAAATGCACATATGCAGATTTTACCTTGTGTTTTATGGATATTGTCATCGTAAATACTGGGCCATTACACTGAAAAAAATGCCACGAAGTTCTATAATTGTCTCCTTTTGGACCAGAGGGGACCATAAGGTTCAAAATGTATTTAAATTTTCAGTTCAAAGATTTACTTAAAAATACAATATCCCAGACCAGTAGCCACCTTTCTCCAACAGAAATACTGACATAATTGAATACTATAATATCAAGGCAACCTCAACCTATTCAGGGGTTTCAGCTTCGTGTGAAACTTCTGACAGTCAAAAGATGTAGTATTTTGTTTTTAATTATTAATTACTATGGAAACAGTCCTAATTTTCCATCACTATGAAACCCACGGATTGATTCAGTTCTAACCAAGCCATAACACTATACTTTCTATACCTTTTTTTTTTTTTGGTTTACCTTGCAGTTTAACAAGCATGCTTACGCCATTAAAATAAGCATGTCTTTCTGTGTGTGTCAGTATGTTCCTCTTCACTGAGACCTATGGGGGGCGAGCCAGTGCTCCAAACGTCATGGTTGTGGTTACTGATGGAGAATCCCATGACAACAGCATCAGAGATACAGCCATCAATATCTGCGAAAACAATAAAGTCACACGCTTTGGAATTGCTGTAAGTAATATACCTTTAGTTATAATATGTATGTATTGTAGTATCGTAGTTATTTTTGTACTATTTTCTGTTCGGTTTTAGGTCTTGGGTTATTACAACAGAAACAACATTGACACACAGAACTTGATCGCAGAAATCAAATCTATTGCCAGTTCTCCAACTGAAAAGTTCTTCTTCAATGTGTCTGAAGAGGCTGCCCTCTCCAATATCGCAGGAACACTGGGGACTCGCATTTTTAACATTGAAGGTGTGCATAATTTTAAAGCTGTGATTTTGCTTCCTGTTCATCTACACAGTGATGCCAACAGGACTGCAGGTCACAGCATGTCTCAATAAGTAGGGGTTAACAGCTCCAGGTGTTTACATCTCTCCTTTCTTAAAGGCACCGGCAAAGGGGAAAATTTCACGATGGAGATGTCCCAGGTTGGATTTAGTGCTCACTACTCAAGTCAACAGGTCAGATCACATACTTCATATGTCTTTTTGAATGCATATGAAACATAAAACTAAGTAAAATATAGATGATTATGATGATGATGATGATGATGATGATGATGATGATGATTATGATTGTGATTATGATAATCGGGGCAAAGCAATAGCATCCCTATGGAGACTAGTAGGTGGTACCCTCTATTAGCAAAGTAACACATAACTTTAACTTTACTTGACATGCAACCATACTGTACAATGGTTTATGTGACAATGTTTATACCTTATTTAGACTTAGCAATATATATTTGTCACCTATATTTGGGTTTTTCAGGACATAATGATGCTGGGAGCAGTGGGAGCCTATGGGTGGAGTGGGACAGTCGTTCATCAGAGTGGTACACAAGTGGATATTCTTCCTTCCACTGCCTTTGAAACAACTCTTCAGGACAGGAACCACAGCTCTTTACTGGGTAAAGTTAACGTTTCTCTCTTTTATTTTCTCAAAAACAAGAACTGTATCTGAACTGTTCTGAACTTAAGTAGGACAAATAAAATATAAAATGTTGTCACTGGATAAAAACCCAAGCTACTGTTTCATATGAATTCCAGTATTTTAATGCTGTAGATATAAATTATTATATGTTAGCTGTTGTTGCTTAAACATGTACAATGTATTTTCCCACCATCTCCAGTTATTATTGCATTTCTATTGCTTTGTCTGGGATGTGCCACAGTGTAGATGTAAAAGTATCTGAAATTACAGGTGTTTTGTTAAACTTGTAAAACATGCACATCATTGTGAACCTGTGAATCTCCACAGATCAAGGGCCTCATTTATAAAGCTAATTTAGGCATAAATTGTGCATTTAAGCAGAGGTTAACCAAAACAGGGAGAAGGGCTGTTTATTCCACTTATTATTATCTACAATAGTATACATTTGAAACTGCGCACTCTCATGCACAAGCCTGTGCACTTTCCCAGTGCAGTGCAGGGTCTCCCGCAGTCCATGACCGTAGACTTCTATAGGTCACAGTCTGTGGCTGTGACCAAACATAGAGGACAAAATAATGACCGGACCTTCCCTCGGACAGAGCACAGGAGCGAGACTTTGGTTCAGTGAAGCACTGGGACTACTAAACACTACTTAAGCACTTTTACTTTTCTCTTTCTTTACACACTGAGCAGCAAAGTGGCCCAATTCCGCACTTGACACGAAGCTTACTGGGCCGAACCTGACCAGAACCCAAAATATTCCCTACAGTTTGGGAGCTGGGGAGCTCTTGCAAATGAGAGCTTGCTCTCTAACAGTATGAAGAACACAATTATATGCCTGTGCCTTCCCGACACAGGCCTGCTCACTCACAGAGGTAAGCAGAGTTTGGATGTTTCATGTGGGCATTTAGTGGCATAATAACAGCGCCTGATATGTATTTGATGTGTTACAAATCTGTGTTCTACCTGTCGAAGCACTCGTCCATTGACCGCTGATCCACGTATCCCTCCCTCCATTTGCTCTCCCGGGGAGGGCGTCTGAATCTCTCGCACGCACTCATAGCTCCCTCCTTTGATCATTCAGACCACCGCGTGCACATATCTATTAGTATATGTGCATAAACAGGACCAGTCCCCACATACACCATAGGCATACTTAAAAATATAGAGATAAAACTCTTGAAACACAGAAAGAAAACACACTGGCTTCATTGCAAAGATGTGCTGCCTAAATATTATGAAATATTATTAAATTAACAGATGAGTCGTTGTTCTCACTTTTACTTTTGTATTTATTTGTAAAACCTTGTTTAAGTCTTTGACGTAACCACATGGTGCGGCGTGGAGCGTCCCCCTCCCTCACTGCCCTGCGTGTCTCGGTTAAACTCACTGATTTTCAGCTCATGTTTAGGGAAATCTTATTACAAGTCACTTCGCATGCTCCTTTTATGGTGAGGTGTAGATGTGGATAGGGCGTGACGTGACATGCACAGATTCTAGCTGCAGGTGGCATCGATAAAGCACAGATTGCGTGGTTTTGTGCTTGTGGAGGGAATTCTAAATTTGGAGTTTGCGTGGCGCACGCCTCCTGTGGTCAGGAGTTCACACTAGCTAATGACAACTCCTACGCAGTTTTTTTAATAAATGAGGCCCTTGAACTGTAACTTTACCCAGTGGCTTCAAATAGTGGTCTCCACTAAGGCCATATTGCAGAACATTCTTCACAAAGCAATAACATCTCCATGGAGAAAAGTCGGTTGTGGACCCGATGTTATATAGAACCAGATGTTATATGTAAAAATGCTTTCAGGTTACTCTGTGAGTACACTGAGCGATGGTTACACAGAGTATTATGTGGCTGGAGCCCCACGCTCAAACCATTCAGGACAGGTCATTGTCTACACCATGAACGCACAGAAGCTTGTCCATGTAGTCGACTCCGAAAGAGGAAAACAGGTATGTTCTGGTTTCTGTTTTTCCATACTTTACTTTTCCTTTACTTTGTTTTAAACTCATTTACTTTGATTTGTTAGATTGGCTCATATTTTGGGAGTGTGCTATGCCCCTTGGATGTGGACAGAGATGGAGTCACAGATGTACTTCTTGTTGGTGCACCAATGTTTATGAGCGAGCTAAAGAGAGAACAAGGGGCCGTTTACATCTTCTCTGTCACAAAGGTAAATTATCTATTTTTTTGTACAATCTGTTATCTAATTTCCTTTTTTGTTTAAGGTGCAGTGTGTAACTTTTCTGGGACTACATTTAGGAAGAACTGTGTAGGAGTTGTCCTAAGATATGCGTACTCCTAGTGGCCAGGAGAGGCGTGTTCCACACAAATTCCAAATTTAGAAAACCCTCCATATACACTGAACCACGCAATATGTGCTTTGTAGTAGAGCCCTGCACGGCCTACGTGAGTGCAGCACTCTAGCGACGCAAAACAGTGCGATGCGGTACACATTTTGAAAGCTTATTGCGGGCACAGGCAGGTGGGATGATAAACTGCAGTCTCGCAAACTAAATATGAGTGTAAATTAAAATATACAAATTATTAATGTATGCCTATCATCCTTTGTGCTGGAAATTTGTGTATGTGGTCTAATCTCGCGTACATTTGGACAGTTCCTTTCTGCTGTTTGATAGAGTTTAAGAAAGTAAACGTCCCCATCTTGCAGGATGGGGGCGTGGGACAAAATATCGCAGATGCAGGCGGTACCGGGACTGCACAATGCAGGGACTGCAGGGAGCAGGACTGAAAATTCAGTCCCACGCAGACCTCTGCTTTACAGATGGACTGCGGGAGACCCTGCGCTGCACCGGAAAAGTGCACATGCAAGTATCAAATGTGTAATATTGTAGAGAATAATGAATGGAATAAACAGCTCTTCTCTGTGTTTTGGCTGTGTCTCTAGACTTTGTGTAGAGTTACAACTGGGTCTGAGCTGCCGTAGAGATAAGCAAAGATTAAGAGGAGTTTCATAAATCCCACCATTGAGCGTCTACTCAAGGATTTGTTTGTAAATGAGCTTTATAAATGAGGCCCCTGGTCTGCCAAATGCTTGTTATTGTGCAGTATGGTATTAAACCTCTCTATCTTTATGGACACCAAACAGGTCAGGGGCCTCATTTATAAAGCTCGCTTACACACAAATCCTTGCGTATGCGCTCTCTATGCCAACCGCGGTATTTATGAACCTCGACTAAGTGCAGCGCTTTGCTTAACTCTACGCAAACTCAGGGCCTCCTGTAAGCTCTACGGAAAGTCTGGAGACACGGAAAAAGCGACACCCATGGAGAGGAGCAGAAGTGAACAGAGTTTGAGGAAGTGTTTGATCAGAAAATCAAAGAATTAAAAAAAAAATTATAAAAGAATTACCTTCAGATTTGTGCATTTAAGTGTTTGTTTCGCCAAAACACAGAAAAGGGCTGTTTATTCCACTCATTATTCTCCACTATATTATACATTTGAAACTCATGCACGAGCGCTGCCACGTTCCCGGTGCAGCGCAGGGTCTCCCACAGTCCACATCACTACCATAGACTCCTATAGAACACATTCTGTGACCAACACAGAGGATGGAATAATGACCTGAGAGAAAACTCTTCCATGCAGTAGGAGCTAGGCTTTTGATTTAATGAATGCAACTTTAAAATTTTTACTTTAGTTTTTACGCACCAAGTGCCAGAATGACCAAAGTCTGCGCACGACATGAAGCCCACTGTCCGAACCTGACCCGAACCCAAAATATTCCTTTCATTTTTGTGTAATGGGGAGCTCTTGCACATGAGAGCTGCTCTCTGACAGTATGATGAACAGAATAATGCCCGTGCCCGTCCCGACCCAGACCCACACTCACACAGGTAAGCAGTTTGGATGTTTTGTGTGGACTTTTATTGGCAGAATAACAGCGCCTGATCTGTATCTGATGTGTTTCATGCTAAATCTGTGTCCATGTATCCTCGTATCCCTCCCTCGGTCCTTTCACTCTCCAGGGCAGGGCATCTGAATCTCTCACATGCGCTCATAATTTGACCATTCAGATCACCGCGTGCACATATCTACGTGTATATGCAGATATAAACAGGGCCAGACCCCACACACATCATAGGCAGACTTAAAAATATAGTGATAAAACTCTTGAAAGAGCAAGAAAACACATCAGCTTTACTGCAAAGATGTGCTGCTTAAATATTATGAAATATTATTAAATTAACAAATGAGTCGTTGTCACTTTTAGTTTTGTATTTATTTATTAAACCTTGTTTTAGTCTTTGACATGACTGCGTAGTGCTGCGTGGAGCATCCCCCTCCCTCTGTCCCGCATGTCTCAGTCAAACCCACTGATTTTACATGCTCCTTTTATGGTGAGGTGGAGATGTGGAGAGGGCGTGACGTGACGTGGGTTTACGTGCGCAAATTCTAGTTGCAGGTGGGATCTATAAAGCACAAATTGCGTGGTTTTGTGCATGCAGGTGAGTTTTCTAAATATGGAGTTTGCATGGTGCACGCCTCTCGTGACTACAAGGTGTACGCACTAACTTACGACAACTCCTACGCAGTTTTTTATAAATGAGGCCCCAGATCTGTGGAGAGGCAACCCCACTCACAGAAGATTACCTGTTTTTTTTAGACATTTTAACCTATAAAACCACCTGTAATTGAATAAATATAATGGTGACAGTTCCCCAGCTAAAACGTTACATACTACACCTTTTTAAAATCAATCTTCTGTGCTGTGTAGGGAATTCTAAATGAACACGGACTCCTAATTGGCCCTGATCCAACAGAGAACGCCCGTTTTGGCATGGCCATCTCTGCTGTACCAGATCTAGACCTGGATGGGTACAGTGATGTTGTTGCAGGGGCTCCACTTGAGGACAACACAAGAGGTGTCCTTTACATCTTCAATGGAAATAAGAAAACTATCAACAAGCAGTTTTCACAGGTGAGTTTCAGACACACCTTCAAAATGTCATACTTGTATTCACTCTGAACATTACCTTTGTGATTTTAGAAAATATATGGCTCCAAACTTGACCCTCTGATGCAGTATTTTGGACGTTCACTTGACAGCTCCAAAGACCTGAATGGTGACACCCTCCTAGATGTTTCAGTTGGTGGCTATGGAAAAGTAGTACAGTTATGGTAAATGCAACTCAACATGTAGTATTTATTCATCCATTTGATCTGACCTCATCTATTTGACCTGAAGTCAGTTACTGTTACGAAGGCTTTCTCTTATTCTTTTCCGTTCTTTTCATAACACACAGCAGTTTCTTTCTTTTGATGATTGTTACACCAACCACATTCTATACATCACCACTACTTAAGTTGATAAAATATATTATCAAATTAAAATCATTGTACTTCTTTAGATTTGCATTTTTTTCTAGGTCCCGGGGAGTAGGATCTGTCACTGCCACGGTCACATTCACTCCAGATAAAATAAACATTCTAAGTAAACTTTGTTACATAAAGGGGCACAAGGCTTCATGTTTCAACGCCAAAGTTTGCTTCACTGCTGCGTTCAAGCCCAAGACCCCCGTTGGGCCCTTGGGTGAGTAATAATATAAAGGCTGTGTTCACATCATTGTAAAATCTGGTGTCATAATTACAGATGGAGGCCTGTATTAATAATTTCCATATTATATACACAAATGCCATCACGTTGAACCAAATCATCGCTGTCAGGAATTGGTTCCACAATGTTTCATACAAATCCAAAAAAGTCTCTTGTTGTGTTATTTTTAAATAATAATAATGCATTAGTCTTATATAGCACTTCTCCAAGTTGCTTTACAATTTTGTGCATTATTCATTCACTCCATACTTGGTGGTGATAAGCTACTATTGTAGCTATAACCACCCAGGGGCAGACTGATGGACTGATCAGCTCCTCCAACCACTACTTACACTTACACATGCAACACATTCTAGGCAATGTGGGTGAAGTGCCTTGCCTGAGGACACAACAACAATTTAGATTTTTCCTGTTCAGTTTTAAAATATAGACAATATTAAAACGAATTGTTTATTATCTTTCAGACATATCGTACACTTTGACGTTGGATGCGGATTTACAAGCCACACGAGTGACATCCAGAGGACTTTTTACCAAAAACCATGAACGTTTCTTAACTGAAAGGGAACAAATAGCATCTGTAGCTGTATGCCAAGTCTATGAGGTCTATGTCCAGGTAAGGGCTCAAAGCACAGTAGTAATTTTAAAATATAACCACAAGCGGCACTGATCAGCCTTCGCACACTACACTGCCCTCTGCAAACATTGCACCCCACAAAGTTTTGCATAACCCTACTAACCTTAACCCCCAACTACAGCCCTAACCCTTCGCCCTATTCCTAAATTAATCCTAATTCCTAAATTATCCCTAATCCTAACCCTAACTACTAACCTAACCCTAACTCCTAACCCCTAACCCCTAACCTACTCCTAACCATAGCCTAAACTCTAGCTCTAGACCTGACATCGCCACAGCCTTACCAGCAGCATCAGGACAATCGTTGCCTACAGCAACGGGGTCAGAGCTAGTGCAGAGCACTTACATACTGTGATCTGGAGTGGTGTTAGGATGGCGCCCAGTTGGCAATGAGTGTGTGGTTTAACACTGAGTTACTGCCAGATTTAAGGAACTGTCTGTAGTCGTCTGTAGTTGTCTGTAGTCATCTGTAGTCGTGAACGACATATAACGGGAGTAATGAGCAGGGGCGGACTGGCAGTATGTGTGTTCTGGAAAAGTACAGAAAGGCCGGCAGCCGTACTAACCATACTAATAGAGGGCGCAAATACAATAATTAATCATGCCCATTTGGTATCAGAGCGCTTGACAGTGACATTAGGCATGTTGCGTAGACGTATGTGGTAGTGTAGCCATTAAGGAATAGAGAGGTGAGACGTCTTCTGCGCCATTAGTATGAGCAACATCAGTGGAGTGTAGCCAACTATTAGTCCGGTTCCTTATTGCCATTTTTTGACCTTAGTGGGAATTTTTGGGGGATTTGCTAACCTATATATTTTTGGAAAGGTTATAGTATGTATGGAGTCAGAAAATCAATGTTTGCATTTGCCCACATGTCTTTATAGTGGCCATATTGGATTTTTAAAAAATGGCCGCCAAAAAAACGTTTTTGGAATATCTCAGGCTCTGAATAAGTTGAAATGTTGATTTTAACTGCTAAACCCACATTTTCAGGGTCAGGGTCAAATGGTGCTAGTTACAAAGCTATAAGACTGTATATATAAGTGGACAGATCTAACGCTGTAGCCGCCGTGTGCCAAACAGGAAGTTCTCCAGGAGGCTCTTCCGGCACCTTCTGGACTCTGGCTCCAATGGACTTACATTAGGATCTTGTGGCTCCTCTCTCTGTACCTGCTGCAGTGAGCCTTGACATTTTGGTCTTAAAATTTTTGTATGAACCTGCTCTACATGGTCCTGAATTTTTATTATTTTGTTTTTGCTATTTTGTCCATCAAAAAAATCCTCTTCATAATATAAAGCCCGTGGGTGGATGAGATCCGTCCTGAGCAGGGGTCTCAGACTCGCGGCCTGGGGGCCAACTGCGGCCCTCGGAAGGATTTTTTGCGGCCCGCCACTTAATTCCAAAGAATTATGTCAGTGCGGCCCGCGGTAGATGTACGCACAGTCCCACCCCTCCACCCGCGGGCCGCACTGACAGATGAAGCTGCAATCGGTGCCCATGCAGATTCACAACAGATTATTAGCGCAGTTTACATCCCAAAGCTCAACTTACAACAGTTGTGAAGCAACGAGTCTAAGTGGATCTGTTAATACAAGTACACGTGCACATACGGCGTCACCGAAGAACCAAAACAAACCTCACATGGTGGTACACGTGTGCGCACTTCACTTTACGCTCCCACAACCACAGTATCAGAGCGCAGAGGAGGCGCTGACACAATTCCCCTGTTCATAAGTATGGGACCTTTATTGGAGGGGCTAATAAGAAATAAAAAGACATTGACAGTCTGTTTACCTGCTCAACACTCGGTGCGTAACTTGCTGGCACCCGATGACCAAGCTCCACCTGTGCGTCGCCGAAATCCACGTGCACTCAGCGGCAAACACAGCTGTCCCATCAATATGCAAGCACCACAAAACTGCAGTGATCTATTCCAGAGGCTTGGCGACATGTTAGCAAAAAGTACGAGGCAAAAACAAGCGTCCATCCATGTTTGACATACGAGAAGCAGATACACTCCAGTGTGGTCCGCTTTCACACCGGCAAACGAACCAAAACTGGTCCGATTAACGAGCCTCTGTATCCCGGTAGAACAGCGATATCTCCAGTAACCAATACTGATGTTCCCTGTTAACGCGAGCCGTCCTCATCTTATCACCATGAACTCATAAAACAGCAACGTAGAACTTTCTACAAACTCACCGCATCAGCCCAGAGTTCGGGTAACAGCAGCAGCCGACAGCGCTCACAGTAGCGCGCAGCTCCTCAGGACGGGGCTGGGGTCTGGTCCTTGGTCTTCTGTCGTCCTACAAGCGCGTTGGTCAGATGGTCCGAAGGCTCTGTCCTCCGTGTGCTGGTTCCAGACGGTGGCGAGCAAGACCAGTGCGCAATGACTGGGTCTGAGCGGGTACGTTCCGCCGTCTGCGCGCTGGTTCTGTGCGGGGAAAGTGAGAATGCGCTGCTGCTCCTGTCCTCCGCGCTCAAGAACCGCGGCTGGTTCCGAGGTGGTGCAAAGCATCCGGACAGAAGCGTGAGTCCAGTTTAGTTGGTGTCCGTCCTCCGCGCATTTGGTTCTTCCCGGGGAAAGTGCTTTTCACTCCCCGCTCTACGTCATCTGAGCCTGGACAGAACCGGAGCTTCTCCTGCTGGTTCGGGACTCGGGTTTGGATCTAGTCCGACTGTATTTCTCACACTAGGCTAAAAGCAGGACATTTTTTAAAGGTGAATCAATTGAATGGGCGATTGCCTATTGCCATAAAATTATTTGGTTAATTAAAGCCTAAAATAACAAATGCTGGTTCCTACATGATCACGGGGAACACCGGGACCTCTGTGCAGGTCCTGAACAGAAGTACACACCCCCATTTTTGACTTGCTCTGATCTTCGTGTGTTACATTCTCTTTATTGGCCATTGTTGGTAAAATAATTCAAAAATGAATCGCGGCTGCGTCTGGAAAACAATCTGTTACTGCACTGGAGTCGCACAGCGTCATTACAGGCAAAGGAGACGCGTTTCTCCCATGATGCATTTCGAATAGTTCGTTTGGACCTGCTGTCTATGGTTTGGACTCGGGTTCGCGTTCACACCAGAGGTGCGGATTCAAGCGAAACGAGACCACCTCTTTTTTGAGGTCTCGGTCCACTTGAGTTGGTCCGGGTTAGAGTCCGATTGACCTTTCACACCAATGCAAATGAACCGAGCTAACCACTTCTGGTTCGAATGGACCGTTTGGTGCGCACCAAATACTGTTGGTGTGAAAGCACCTACAGGTCAAGGCTCACTGACGAGCATCTTCAGTCTATCCTGAGGATCTCATTTGCTTCCTCCTGCAAGCCAAATATCTCTCAGCTGTACAAGATGAAGTGTAGTCAGGTTTCAACCAGCAAGGAGTAGGCAAAAGAAGAAGAGTAGACGTATTAGTTTAAACTTACGATCTGAATGCATTTTCATGTTCTGAACTGTTATTAAAGATTAAAAAAGTGTGTTGCATGTTGTTCTTTCTCTCTCTTTTATTCCCGTGCAACTGCTATTTATCGAATACTCAATGCGGCCCAGCCTCACTCAGACTTTCTCTAATGTGGCCCCCAGGTAATTTGAGTTTGAGACCCCTGGTCCTGAGTATCTCAAGTCTCTGGATGTTGTGGGTCATGGCTGACATGCCTCTTCAACATCGCATGGTGGTCGGGGACAGTACCTCTGGACTGGCAGACCGGGGTGTTGGTCCCTCTGTATAAGGAGGGGGACCGGAGGGTGTGTTCCAACTACACACTTCTCAGCCTCCCCGGTCTGTGCCAGGGACTGGAGAGGAGAATCCGACTGTGGTTTTCGTCCCGGTCGTGGAAGACTGGACCAGCTCTACACTCTCCATCGGGCGCTTGAGGTCTCGTGGGAGTTTGCCCAACCAGTCCACATGTGCTTTGTGGATCTGGAGAAGGCATTCAACCGTGTCCCTCGTGGTGTCCTGTGGGGGGTGGTCTGGGAGTATGGGGTCCGGGGCCCTTTGCAAAGGGCTGTCCAGTCCCTGTATGACCGGAGCAGGAGCTGTGTTCGCATTGCCGGCAGTAAGTCAGACCTGTTCTTGGTGCATGTTCGACTGCCCCAGGGCCGCCCCTGTCACCGGTTCTGTTCATTGTATTTATGGACAGAATTTCTTCGTGCAGTCAGGGGCTGGAGGGTCTGGTTTGTGGACCACAGGATCATCTCTGCTGTTCACAGATGATGTTGTCCTGTTGTCTTCATCAAACCAGGACCTGCAGCACTGGGGCAGTTTGACCCGTGTGTGAAGCGGCTGGGATGAAGATCATCTCCTCAAAATCCGAGGCCATGGTTCTCGACCGGAAAAAGGTGTCTTGCCCTCTCCGGGTGGGTGGAGAGTCCCTGCCTCAAGTGGAGGAGTTCAAGTATCTCGGGGTCTTGTTCACGAGTGAGGGGAGGATGGAGCGTGAGATTGACAGGCGGTTCCTTTTTCCTGATATTACCATCGCTTGGTATTGTGATGTCCACCACCACGGCTTTGCTCTATTTCTTCTCCACCACCACTATGTCTGGTTGGTCCATCACCATCCTGTCAGTCTGTATCTGGAAGTCCCACAGGATCTTGGCTCGGTCGTTCTCCACGACCTTTGGAGGTGTTTCCCACCTTGATCCTGGGGTCTCCAGCCCGTACTCTGCACAGATGTTTCTGTACACTATGCCCGCCACTTGGTTATGTCGCTCCATGTTTGTTTCCCTGCCAGCATCTTACACTCTGCAGTTCTGTGCTGGACTGTCTCAGGAGCCTCTTTGCACAGCCTACACCGTGGGTCTTGTCTGGTGTGGTAGATCTGGGCCTCTATTGCTCGAGTGCCCAGGGCCTGCTCCTGAGCAGCCAGGATCAGTGCCTCTGTGCTGTCCTTCAGACCAGCCCTCTCAAGCCATTGGTAGGATTTCTTGATATCAGCCACTTCAGTTATGTTCCGGTGGTACGCCCCATGTAG